TGGAGGAGGGGCAAGGGAGATTTCGGTAAGATGGTGGGAGTCGTATCATAGGGAATGTGACTTTTACTGTATAAGCATTTTTCCCCCCACGCCGAAAAAACAAGAGGCTCACTCTGTTGCCCAGGCTGGAATGCACTGGCATGATCTCAGCTCACTGCAACCTCTGCCTCCCAGGTTCAAGCGATTCTCCTGCCTCAGCCTCCTGAGTAGCTGGGATTACAGGAGTGTGCCACCATGCCCAGCTGATTTTTGTATTTTTAATAGAGATGGGGTTTTACCATGTTGGCCAGGATGGTCTCGATCTAGTGACCCGGTGATAGGCCCACTTCAGCGTCCCAAAGGACTGGGACTACAGGCGTGAGCCACTGAGCCCGGCCTGTATAAGCAGCTTTTAAAAGAAACGTTAAAGTGACAATTCTGTTTTGGCCAGGTGGTATTTAAAAGGGATGTTATTTTCAACAAGTCTGAGCAATAGGAGGCTCAAGCAGTCCTAAATACTCTTTTTGGACTCCAGATTGGAGTTCAGTGGCACCATGACAGCTCAGTGCAACCTTGAACTCCTGGGTTCAAATGATCCTCCCAAGTTGCTGTGAAAATAAGTGTGTGCCTCGATGGCTATTTTTTTTTTTTCTTGGTAGCAGATAGAGACAGGGTCTTGATATGTTGTCCAGGCTGGTCTCAAACTCCCAGATTAAAACTATTCTCCTGCCTTGGCTTCCCAAAGTGTTGGGATTCCAGGTGTGAAACACTGTGCCCAGCATTTTTTTTTTTTTTTTTTTTTTTTCACGGAGTCTTGCTCTGTAGCCCAGGCTAGAGTGCAGTGGCACGATCTTGGCTCACTGCAACCTCCGCCTCCTGGGTTCAAGCAATTCTCCTGCCTGAGCCTCCCAAGTAGCTGGGACTACAGGCGCACACCACCACGTCCAGCTAATTTCCCACTTCAGCCTCCCTAAGTGCTGGGATATACAGGCGTGAATCACTGCGCCTGGCCATTTTTTTTTTTTTTAAGAGACTGGGTCTTGCTGTGTCACCTAGGCTGGAGTGCAGTGGCACATTCATAGGTCATTGTAGGTTTGAGCGCCTGGGTTCAAGTGGTCTTCCCTTCTGAAACTCCAAAGTAGCTGGGACCATAGGTACATGCTACAATGCCTGGCTAATTTCTTTTTTGGTAGAGATAGGGATCTCCCTATGTTGCCCAAGTTGATCTCAACCTCCTGGGGTCAGGTAATCCTCCCAGCTCAGCCTCTCAAGCTGCACAGACGCATTCCCCACCACACCTGGCCTTTAAAACTTTTTATGTAGAGATGGGTTTTGCTATGTTGTCCAGGCTGGTCTTGAACTCCTAGGCTCATGTGAGCCTCCCACCACAGGGGACCCCAGAGCTGCTGGGATTACAGGCACTTGCCACTGTGACTGGCTCCCTAAAGACTCCTTATTTAAGGACCTCTGACAATCTACAGAGGAAAATAAGGGAGAAAATACTCCTTCCATCCTCTGTTGGAATTCCCAGATACCAAGGTAACAAAACACAGTAGAGATCTTGGAAGGAAATGCAAAGCTTTTTTGAAGACTCCCGATTCAGAGTGGTTCACAAGTCCAACACATAGACAAGTAAACAAGGCACATTAGCAGTGATTTTGTTTTGAAGAAAGCTTTTAACTTAAACTTGCTGGTGAAATCTTCCATACCTTTGCTGGACCTCTTCAGTGTTTTCTTGTTTCCTTCAGAGGTAATTTCAATTTCGTCAGGATTACCACCTTCATCTTCAATTGCCTAAAAAGAAGAGAGAAGTGAAGTTGATCCAAAAGCCATCAGCAAACTGCTTTCAGAGCCTTCGAGTGAGGAGGAAACGGTGTTTTTAAGATCGAAAAGCTGCTGCCGCCCTCATCACCCAGGGCCTATGGCCCATCCACTCCTCTGTTCTCTTGCTCCACAGTAGAGGGTGGGTGGTCCCAAGTGAATTTACTTAGGTGCTCAGTGTTTGTGAGGACTCTATTAGCCATGAAATCGAAGCACTTAACAAACAGTAGGCTTATCTGGTTCATCTTCTTCCTAAGCCCAGAAGAACTCAAAAAGGGTAAGGCACACTCTCCAATTTCTTCTGACTTTACCCACAAAATATTCTTAACCCTCTAGGGACTCACTCCATGCTGTGCCTGTACTCAGTGCCGTGTGGATGGAATACTAACGCTCACTGGCTGGGTTCCTACTGGGTGTTATGCATGAGACCCATCATGACAAGCATAACCTCATCCGATCCTCATCACGTACATTCACAACTGACTTCAAAGACCTCATTCTCAACCACCACGTGATCATGCCTCATCGGATACCGAATTAGAAGAATTTCTAGGCACGCCCAGCCTCCCATCCCAAGACTCTGTCATTCATTTCAACTGCACCCACACTCATCACAGTGCCTGGCACCATCTAAGCCATCAGTTCCCAATATGTCAATCATGATGGCATCCCTAGAATGTGGGCTTCAGGTTAAGTTGTACTGATAACTTTTTCAGTCTTTACTCTCCTATCCCACAAGCCCAAGGTTTGTTTACGTCATTTCATGTACTGTGTTTCATCTGCAAAGGTTTGGAAGCCTCAAAGTTTCCCAGCTGGGTAAGTCTGATTGAGATCGGGCCTGGGGATTCCACGACTCATCTTCACATCTTTACCGGCAGCAACAAAACTCTCTCCTCTCAGAAGCCAGAAAAGGGACTGAAGTTCTTTCCTGGGATCAAGGAAAAGTAGAATCACAAAGTCCCTCACTCTTTTCCCTAGACAGACAATTGTGAAACATCACCAGGAGAAGAGAAGCAATGCCCTAGGCAGGAGGTGTCCCATTTCCACCTTGTGCTCTTTTGCCCTTCCTGGAAAAGTAAAACCAAGAAAGGGACACCAACAGGATGACAGAAGCGGGAAGAGATGGAGATCACAAACTCTAGCCTGGCATGGGCGGGTGGCAGACAGGACATGGGCTGGCTGTACTGTTTTGGGACTACATCTCGAAGACAATGAAAAGAAGGAAAGAGGAACAAATCTGTGGTCTCAGAGATAATAGTGAGCGATGGAAGTCTCAGTCACCAGCTTGACAGAAGGGTTCAGTGCCATCCAAGCAGCTTTGCAGGCCCATGGACCAGAGTGGGAGAAAAAAAGAAGAAATCCTCTCCATTTAGCTTACGGAACGCCCTGGGGGTGGGGCACCGCACCTGCCCAGCTGCCCATCTCCACGCTGCATTTTCTCGGGCTAACTACGCAGATCCATGAACTTCCTGCCTCGTCCGAGTAAACAGAGAATCCGCAGCGAAGAGAAACACAGGCTTGAGCAAATTTTTAAAAGCCCATGTGACTCCGGGAAGACAACTATCCACTCCGGAGCCCAGGGTTTCTCATCAGGGAAAAAAAAAAAAATAAATAACCCCTACTTTCTTCTCATCACCAATTAAGAATAAAGCCGTGTGATCTCCGCAATTCCGCAGCCACGATGAGGGAATGTGTCACCAGCCCCACTGCCGGCAGAGGCTGTTGGGGGTGGGCGGCCGGGCCGAGCAACCACAGGGGAGAGGTCCCAGGGTAGGTAGGTGGAAGAAAGGCAGAGAAAGGAACCGACGGGGATAAAGACAGCGCAGGAGAAGAAGGTGGCCAACCTGTACTCGACCCTGCCTTTCCAAGGCATCCCTCTGAACCCCGCCAAGGTGGAACTCAGAGCCCCCAATGTGCAACGACGGCTCGTGGTGGCAGAGAGAGAAGCGGATCGTGATGACAAGCACACAGCGGGCGTTCGCAGGCGCCAGGCAGCACGCCAAGCCTGCTCCGCGCAACCTTATTCAAGCCCCGAACCAAAGCCCTGTCGCTTTCTTCTTACAAGAAAGAAAAAAAAAAGGGGGGGGGCACTCAGAAGGGGTTCAAGGCCTTCTGTGCCCCAGATCAGGACCCCGAGACCTGGCGGAGTCCTGCGTCCAGAGACGCCGACCTGGGGGAGCCCAGGGGCAATTCCGGCTGCTTTTCTAGCCCACCCTCGCCGCCCATTTCGGGTCTTCTCCCTCCCGCCCGCCCCCCCGGGCCAGGACCGGCAAACCCGGAACACGGGGTGGTCTTTTCCATTTTTCCCTTCCCGGAGGTCCCACGGGTGTCTCCTCTGTAGATCGACCCCCGCGATTCAGGCTGCTCGGCCTCCCCGTGGGTCAGAAAGCAGCTTCCCCGGGGGGAACCCCGCAGCCCGGGTTCAAATCCCGACGCCGCCCGTCCTCGGCCGTGTGACCTTGGCCGAGTCCCTTGCCCTCGCCCCCAAAGTGAGGGTTTCAGTGTCCCCCCCCCGCTCCAGTTACGGAGGCGGGGACAAGACGAGAGAAGAAGCCTCCTCTCCGCGGACGATGTCACCCGCCACGGCCTCTCCCGTACGCGAGCCCTTCTTCTGGTTCTCCTGGCCCCAGTGCGGCGTTAGGATTCGAACCCAGGCCCAGCCGGCCAAGGACTTGCTCCCGCCGGGGCCTGGGAGGAGCCGGGGGACGCGAGACCTCCAGGTGCGGGGAGGCCGCGAACGGGGTCGCACGCCAGGGCCCGCGAGGACCCCAAACGCACCCTGTGCCCGCCCTCGGGACCCCAGATCCACCTTCTTCAGCCGCTCCATCAAAACGCTCTTGTTGCCGCTCGAGTCCACATTCCGTTTTCTCAGCTCCGCCCGCAGATCGATCACTCGCAGGTCGCTGAGGCGTCGCGTCCCGGTCTCTGACGAGGCGGAGCTCAGAGCCGCCGCGCCCGCTGCTCCAGAATCTCCTAGGCCTGACAGAGTCTCCGCCATTCCAGGGACCCTGGCTCCACCGCCCACTTTCCACAGAACCGGGCCGGTTTTATCAGGCTCCTAGCACAAAATGGCGCCGCCTGCGAGGGAACCGCTCCAGTCGCTCCGGCGCGCCTCGCTTCTACGCAGGCGCACCAAGCGCAGGGTCTTCTATGCTGGTTGCATCTGCACATGCGCAACGCGAGGAACGCAGGGACGTGCGCAGACGCGTTGCAGCTCGCCAGCTTCTCTCCGGGAACGGGCGGGACGCATGCGTGCTGCAGTTTCGGCGCATGCGCGTTGTTCCGGGCAACGCGCGGTTGGTCGACGCGCGAGCGTCCTTGCTGCTAAGAACGCTGGTGGGGGGGGGGTGCGCGTGCGCGTGCGCGGCCGCAAAGCGGGGCGGGAGGAAACGAGTGCGTTTTCCTCTTAGGCGGCGCCATTTTGTGCTCAGAGCCGCTACAGCCGCCGGCGGTGTGCCATTGAGTCGCTGGCGAAGACCGGAAAGCGACGATGGCGGAGACTCTGCCGGGGTCGGGCGACTCGGGCCCTGGCACGGTGGCTCTCGGCCCGGGCGTTTCGGAGACCGGGACGAGGCGGCTTAGTGAACTGCGGGTGATCGACCTGCGGGCGGAGCTGAAGAAGAGGAACCTGGACACCGGCGGCAACAAGAGCGTCCTGATGGAGCGGCTCAAGAAGGTGAGGCGGCGCGGGGCTCGGGGGTGGCGCAGGAGGCCCAGGCACGTCCCCGCCAGCGCCTGTCACCGCGGCCCCCGGACCCGGGGACGCCCCGGGCCCGCCCCCCATCTTGACGGACCCCGGCCCGAGCTGTCGGGCACCCGGGGGGGCGGCTGTGTGACCTTGGCCCGTCACCGCCCCTCTCTGTGCCTCCCTTCTTATCCTCCGTCCACTTCTTCTCAAGCGCGCTCAACGTCCGGTCTTCTCGGCTACCGAGGTGGCCCCGGGACCCCTCCTGGGGGCGCGCTTTCCAGCTTGGACTCTGCGACCTTGGACCAGTGCCTTTCTGTGCCTCAGTTTCCTCCTCTGGAGAATGGGGTGCCTGGCGGACTTCTGAGCCTTTACAGGAAACGGGGCGGTGCTTGTGTCTGTCCCAGGGCCTTGGCATTTGCGAAGCTGTCCCCCCCCCGGGTCCCCCGGCTCTCCTGGCCGGCCCCTTGTCATTTTGGGTCCGCCTGAGCCGTCAGCTTCCCGAGCTCCCTCCCTAAGGCGCTGCCCCCACCTCCCGGCCAGCTCTTCCTGCGTTTCGGTCGCACCTCGGTAAATGCAGGGGGCTAAATGCAAAATGCTTAACGGGGTGGGGCTTGCCTGTCTTCGCAACTGGAACAAACTCCTTGTGCACGGCGAGGGAGCTTGCGGGTGCCCCGTCCTGGGCCAAGCAGGTGGCAGGCGCTGAAGGACCTGTTGAGTCTCCCCGGGCTGGGTGGCCGGCTCTTCCCCGAGCCCGGGCCAAGGGCAGCCTCTCTGTTCTCATTTGTCCCATTGTAGAACTTCAAAGGCGAAAGCTGGGCAGCGGCCAGATGAGTTGCCGTTTGGGAACTGGTCCTTGACCCCCGTTCTGGAGCTCGTGCTCGCAGCCTCCCTCTCTTTTGTCTTTTGGGCTCTGGACCCAGAGAGCCCCAAGTCGTATGGGATTCCTCCTCCGCCTTTTGGGCTTGCGGCCCAGATAGCTGACCCAGGGTTGCTCTCTGCGGCTCCCTGCAAGCCTTTGTTTCACGGGAAGTTGTTACTTGCAAGGAACAGTGTGTGCCCTGCAGCTCTTAATCATGTTGTAAAACTCATCTCTCCCTAATAGGCCGTTAAAGAAGAGGGGCAAGATCCCGATGAAATGGGCATCGAGTTAGAAGCCACCAGCAAGAAGTCAGCAAAGAGATATGTTAAAGGTATCTGCTTGTGCTTACGCTGCTTGGGGCCTGAGTGTGCAGAGAAGTTAGAGAAATGCTGTGTAACCCTCTTCCTGCCCTCTCGGCTCAGAGAATTTCCAGGTCTTCGGTGTTCCCCCTCTAAGAGTTAGCTTTGCTCTTCACCACCTAACAGGTAGCTGTGTCAAGGACACAGGCGGCAGGAGAGAGGTGTATAGGTGCCAAGTACAATGAAAATAGGAGAAACGTTTCAGCTTCTGCCATTGACATTAAAAGTCCACGAGAGTAGGGCAGGTTCTTAAAGTTGCTTCTACTGGTCTGAGGAACCACTTGGCTTCTTTTCTGGTTCAAAAAACAGGTCTTAACCCGAGGAAAAGGACGCCAACCCGAGACTGAATGGAGAACTCAGCTTCTCTAGGATCCAAAATGCGTCAGTGGGGAATTAGCACTCAGCCTGTTTTTACTATTGCGGTTTTTGAACGTCAAGATTCAATTCACAGACTTAAAATCACCAGGTTAAGGCGTACAATTCAGTGTGTACACAAGGCTCTGCGTCCACGACCACTGTCTCCTGGATTTTCACCCTCACCCCGAAAGGAAGGCCTGTCCTCATGAGAAGCTGGTCCCCTTTCTTTTCTCCCTCCAGTCCCTGGCAACTGCTAATCCACTTTCTGTCCCTGCAGACCTGCCTGCTGTGAACACTTTCTGTAGATGGAGTTGTGTGTCGCGGGGCCTTTTGCATTAGCTTTCACGTAGCATCTGTGTCGTAGCGTGTGTAGATACTTCGTTCCTGTTCATGGCTGATACTGGTTATTTTTGGAAGGACTGAATTTCATAAAACTTTGAAGCTTTGACTGTCGTAGTTGGTATTGTCCTCATTGTTAGGTCTTACGGTGAGAAGCATAATTTAGGTTTCCTGTGTAGCGGGCCTGTTTTCCTGAAAACGTGCTAAAATTCAGGCAGTGGAGGATCACTGCTTAAAAAGTGGAAAACACTGGTAGCATTTTAACAGCGTTTTCTTCCTGATGTGTTTTGTAACACATTAACTGTTTAAAAGTATGCATGGGTCAGGCACTGTGGCTCACAGCACCTTGGGCGACCTAGGCGGGCAGATCACCTGAGGGTGGGAGTCCAAGACCAGTCTGACTAACATGGAGAAACCCTGTCTCTACTAAAAATACAAAAATTAGCCGGGTGTGGTGGTGCATGACTAATCCCAGCTACTCGGGAGGCTGAGGCAGGAGAATCACTTGAACCCGGAAGGCGGAGATTGCTGTGAGCTGAGATCTCACCATTGCACTCCAGCCTGGGCAACAAGAGTGAAATTCCATTTCAAAAAAAAAAAGTATGCATGTTGTTTGAAAGGTTAAATCTTGTAGGTAGGCTGCATAAGAGCTTAAGTTAAAATTTAATTTTGAAACATTGATGTGTTTTTACTGTTCTTGTGACTGACTGTATTTCAGCTAGAAAGCCTGACTGAGCAGATTCAGAATGTGAGAGACTGGTCCGCAGCAGGAAATAGAGTTTCTTTCTAGTGCTTACATGTTCACTTATGCGTGATCTGAAATTTCTTTTTTTTAATGGTTGGGAAAACTGCTTAAGGTAAAGTTTAAAAGGTTGGTTGGTTGGTTTCTTTAGAGGTGCAGTTTCGCTCTTGTCCCCCAGGCTAGAGTGGGATGGCGCCATCTTGGCTCACCACAGCCTCCGCCTCCCGGGTTCAAGTGCTTCTCCTGCCTCAGCCTCCCGAGTAGCTGGGATTACAGGCATGCACTACCACGCCCAGCTAATTTTGTATTTTTAGTGGAGACAGGGTTTCTCCATGTTGGTCGGGCCGGTCTCGAACTCCTGACCTCAGGTGATCCGCCTCCCTCAGCCTCCCAAAGTGCTGGGATTACAGGCGTGAGCCATCACGCCCTGCCAAGTGTAAACGGTTTTTTATGTAGTGTTCATTTAAAACTGTGACGTTCCAGACTTAATACTCGAAATATCCTTGACTTTTGACAGGAATTTAGCAGGGAGCATTTCTTTTTCTTGTTCTTGACGTGGAGTTTTGCTCTTGCTGCCCAGGCTGGAGTGTGCAGCCTCTGCCTCCCGGGTAGCTGGGACTACAGGCACCCACCACCATGCCTGGCTAATTTTTTGTATTTTTTGTAGAAATGAGGTTTCACCATGTTGGCCAGGCTGGTGTGGAACCTCTGGCCTCAAGTGATCCTCCAACCTTGGCCCCCCAAGTGCTGGGGTTACAGGTGAGAGCCACTGCATCTGGCCTAACAGGGATCATTTCTAATGATCTTTGCATCATTAGAAAAACTAAACTTGAGCTGAGTGCTTTGAAGACCTGCCTGAATGTCTAGATTAAAGCTTAGGTCAGTTCAAAACTACTTGGAGTTAGTGTTTTGTGAGGAAAGCTTGCGTGATCATTTTTTCATTGCTATAAAAAGAACGTTTGTAGTCTCAGCTCTGCAGAGGATTAGAAAGGCTTCTGGTCCCTTCCCATTCCTTCTTCAGAGAAGTAGCCAAGCCCAGAGAGAGCACAGGTCTTCAGACAGAGCTCAGCCCCTTCAGGGCCCAGTCTTCCGCCGTGAGTTCTCTGGAGGTGTCGGGGCCATGGCTAATGTATAAAGTGCAAGAGCTTTATGACTGTGGTTATAGTTAGGTCCTGTGATTACAGGCGACTGTTGGGTCAGGAGGAATTAACCAGTTGAGGTTTGTTTTGGGCACTGTGCAGCGGTGTTCAAGGAGTCCAAAGTTGGACTAACTCTGGGAACTCACTGGTGACTGCTTCCATGCCAAAGCTGAAAGCATCCTCATTATAAACCAGCGTAAGAGTCTTCACCAAGATGAGGAGGCCTGGGCAACGTTGTAGGTGGGGTTAAAAAAAAGAAAACTTTGATTATTAAAAATTTAAGTTTTAGATGCCATGTGAGATTAAAGTTGGATTTTCTCACATCTGTGTCCCTGACAGTGGCAGCTTTTCGTTGGCCCAGGCCAGGTGCTGGGGATCGGGGTGTCGCCTGCCTGCACCGCATTGGCTTTTGGTCAGCATTTCTCCTGTTTCCGTCCTATGTGGGCACTGCAGGCTACTATTTAGGGGCCTAGAAATTGGGCGCAATTACCAAACATTTTTAGACAACGTGTTTCAAAAGGATATGCTGTATTTAGATATAATGGGAAGTGGGACAGCTGAGTTTCAGAGTGCCAGCTTTGGAGCTCACCCAGATTCTCGTGTGTCAAATGCCGATAATAAAACCGGCTAGCGTTGTTAGGCGTCTTAAACCATAGACTGGAAAAGCTAACGGTGCCTGACGTGTAATTAAACTGCATTTCTTGAGGGATTATTGATAACCGGTGAGCGAGACTCGAGGTGTAGACTCTGCAGGTTTTTCATGTTTAATTTTCTTTTCTAAACGGTTTATGGAAGTAATACTTTTAGGTAATTTGGAAAATGTAAAAAGTGTGCATGTGAAAATCCAATTCACTCTTATCTTACCCCTGAGTATTTTAACTCCGGTTGATTATCTTGGCCATAGCCTCCTGGATTTTGTAGACATATCCGGACACTTGCATGTATACGGACTGACACTGGCTTTTAAGAAAAGTACATTTCAGCTTTGCGCAGTGGCAGCAGTGGCCAGTGAAGTTTATCCGAGGCGTGATTATTGCTGATTGAAAACTTCCCCATTACCCGCCAAGATGACTTGAAATATAGTTGGCGTTGGCAATTTTTGACAGTTTCTGTGGAGACTGAATAAAAGATAAAAATAAAAAAGAACAGTATATCTTTTTTAATGTTTGAGTTTTCTTTGTGGGGGTGTGTGTGTGAGAGATGCGGTCTCACTCTGTTGCCCAGGCTGGAGTGCAGTGGCATGATCACTGCAGCGTTAAGCTTCCAGACTCGGCATCCGCCCGCATCCTCGCCAGTAGTTGGGACTACAGGTGCATAACACCATGCCTGGCTCATTTTTGTGTTTTTTGTGGAGATGAGATCTAACTGCGTTGCCTGAGCTGGCCTCTTAACTCCTGGGCTCAAGCAATCCACCTGCCTTAGCCTCCCCAAATGCTGAGAGTACAGGCATGAACCACTGTGCCCACACTGGGCATTTTTTCTGTTCCATTAAATATTCTTTAAAAGCATAAATTTTTAAAATATCGTGAGACACTGAATGGTGTCCCACAGGTTTCTCAGCGTTGGCACTCTTGACAGTTTGGGCAAATAATTCCCTGTGGTTGGAGAGTATCCTGTGCATCGCAGGGTCGTGACCAGCGTCTCTAGCTACCGATGCTAATGGCATTCCTCGGAGTCTCGACAACCAAGAGTGCCTCCAGACGTTGCCAACTGTTCCTCCTGGTTGTGAACCACATCTGAGTGAAAATGTGCCATAATCTGTTACCCTTTTGGGTGTTGAGCAGGTATAATAGGACAGATATCTATGTTTTAGACTCCTTGTCAGACATTCTAAGACTCAAATTCCTAGAACAAAGGGTGTGCACATTTTTAAGGTTTTTGATACCTACGGAGACTCAAGTTTATCCTCAAGGTTGCCACTCTTGATTCCCTCCAGCTTCCTTTTGCAATACCTAGCAGAGTTCTACCAAATAGTTATTTTATAGTCACAAAACCCGGGATAATTCTTGACCTTATGGCAGCCTTTGCCTTTTTGGCTTGGGGAAAAAAAAGTTCTTGAGTTGAAGAATGACAGTGGCCTATTTAAAATGGGTGGAATATAGGCAGAGCCAGCAAATCCGTGACTCAGTATGTTATTTTATGTTGCATTCTTTGGTGACTAGATGGGTATTGCCTTTTTTTGCTGGTTTGTTGAAAATGCCTGTTTTTATCCTTTGCTCATTTTTTTGTGATCTTTTTCTTAGATTTGGAGTGTTTTTGGAATATTTGGAAACTTTCAGAATTTTATGGAAAATCAGATTACTCTGATAATCTAGCAGAAATCCCAGATTTTCATGTCCCTGTTGATGGCTTACTTAAAACACCAATTGAGACAAAATTGTGCATGACAGGAGAGGGGAGACTTTTAGTTTCTCTTGTAATACGTTATATTCTAAGACTGAAATCTATTCTGCATAAACTGTGAGGTAGAACTTGAGTGCTCTCTGACTGAACAATTATTCTGTAATTAGGACTGAAGATGGAGGAGGAAGGCACAGAAGATAATGGCCTGGAGGACGATTCCAGAGACGGGCAGGTAAGTGATGCCAGGGTGGAGATGACAGGCAGCAGCTCTGCGTCCTGGTCCAGGTGGTCGTTGATGCCTCTTCTTCCTCTTTACAGGAGGACATGGAAGCAAGTCTGGAGAACCTGCAGAATATGGGCATGATGGACATTAGTGTGCTAGACGAGACTGAAGTGGAGAATAGCAGTGCTCCAGATTTTGGGGAGGATGGCGCGGACGGCATGCTCGATTCCTTTTGTGATAGTAAAGAATACGTGGCTGCACAGCTGAGACAACTCCCGGCTCAGCTCCCAGAGCATGCTGTAGGTAACTTGGAGACACGGCGGGATGTGCCTGTAGCCCTGAGGCACCTGGCGCCTGCGTGCTGCTCATGCGAGGGAGAACACGGCTGAAACACCATGAGCACTTAGTTGGGTGTCTAAACCTGGTGTTGAACTGTGCCCATTCATTTCCTGCATAGGTCAGGGATTAACAGCTTTTCTGTAGCCCTAGGGAATGTTTTTATAATTGTCTGAGAGAGACTTTTGAAGCATGCGATAAGTCATAAAATAGAAAGCTCTGACATACTTAAAAGATTTTTCTTTTTTGAAATGGGAGCTCACTGTTACCCAGGGCGGCCTTCAACTCTTGGGCTCCAGAGATCCTCCTGACTTAGCCTCCTGAGTTGGGATTATTGGCACAGGCCAGAGTGCCCAGCTAGTTTTTTCCTTTAAAAAATAGTTTTGAGAAACAAAAATTGTTTGTTTATTTATTCAGAGACAACAGGCTGTGCAAGCTGGAGTGCAGTGGTGTGATCGTAACTCAGTGCAGCCTCAGCCTCCCAGGGTCAGGCAATCCTCCTGCATCCCTGAGACTACACAGCAAACCACCATCCCCAGCTAATTAAAAAAAACATTTTTTTTTTTAGAGGTAGGAGCTCACTAGGTTACCCAGGTTGACCTTGAACCCCAGTCCTCCTGCCTCAGCCTCCCAAAGTGCTGGGATTATAGGTGTGGTCCACCACTCCCTGGCTCAGAAATGGTTTCTAATCTCATCATGTAGATATTTCTGTTAATGTTGTGTGTGTGTGTGTGTGTGTGTGTGTGTGTGTGTGTTGAGACAGAGTCTTGCTCTGTTGCTTAGGCTGGAGTACAGTGGCAAGATTTCGGCTCACTATATGCAACCTTCACCCCCTGGGTTCAAGCAATTCTCCTGCCTCAGCCTCCTGAGTAGCCAGAATTACAGGCATGTGTGACCACACCTGGCTAATCTTTTTTTTTTTTGAGACAGAATCTCGCTCTGTCGCTAGGCTGGAGTGCAGTGGTGTGATCTCGGCTCACTGCATCCTCTGCCTCTCAGGTTCAAGCGATTCTCCTATGTCAGCCTCCTGAGTAGCCAGGACTACAGGTGTGTGCCACCATGCCCAGCTAATGTTTTTGTATTTTTAGTGGAGTTGGGATTTCAGCACATTGGCCAGGATGATCTTGATCTCCTGACCTTGTGATCTGCCCGCCTCAGCCTCCCAAAGTGCTGGGATTACAGACGTGAGCCACCACGCCAGGCCACCCAGCTAACTTTTTTTATTTTTGGTAGAGATGGGGTTTCATCATGTTGGCCAGGCTGTTCTCAAACTCCTGACCTCAAGTGATCCACCCACCTTGGCCTCCCAAAGTACTGGAATTCCAGGCATGAGCCACCACGCCTGGCTTGTTAACGTTGTTTTAAGAAGGTTAGGCAGTTCCATTAAAAGATGTAAAGTACAGTGAAGACAGGTGCCAACCTTGCCCCCACAGGGAGCGACTGAGTGCCCTTGTCTGTGAAGGAGGGCCTTCGCTTTGTTGGGGCTTTCCCCGCTCTTCACTTCCGGTGTCTTGGTGTAGAGCTCTCTGCTGGGGGCTGTTCAGATACTACAAGCAGTCGCTGTCTTCAGTCTGATTGTCCTTTCAATCTGACTGATGTCAGGTGCCCAGTGGGTTTGATTTCCTTAAGGTATTGCAGCTTTCAGCTTGGGAGTGGAAATGCCCCTGTAGGACTGAACCTTAAACCTTAAGGGCTAAAGTCACCTCCAAATTTACCGTCGTTGGCCCTGGTGTAGCACAGAGCAACTTATTTGCCTCGTTTCTCAGGCTGACCCTGCTGTGTGCTAACTTTTTAGAGTGTGTGCTTCCTGGGCAAGGAGGCATCTAGGTCATGGGTTCAAATCTAGAAAAGGAGGAAAGAATAAAATATTTGGGAGTGGTCTTTTTGTGTTTCACTTAAAAAGGGCTTCAAATTTCCTAACCTTAGAGATAACTTTTCTTTTGTTTGGCATACAGTAAAGAGAGCAAATGACCAAGTTAGATGTTTGTTTTTAACAAAGTAGGCTAGGAGAAAGTGCCCAGTTAGTGTTACCTTAAGAGTACAGGTGAAATTGGAGGAGTGCCGAGTGTATCACTTTGAGTTCTGCTTTGGAAATGCTGTAGCTGGGGAGTATGTGTTAATCACCAGTACTTGGAAACTGCCTGGGAAATTCATTTATCCGTTCACCCGATACAGACAGGGCATACCCACCTGCAGGCCACTCCAGAGACACTGGCGGAGCAGAGTCCTGGAGTGCTGTTCTGGTGGAGGGGGACGTGCTGAACTGAATACCCATCAGTAGACTTGCAGCTGGCAAAAGGTGCCATGAAGGAAATAAACATACAAGTTGCCTAGAAAGTAGTGAGGTATTGGCCTTGGTTTTCACAGCTCCAGTCTCCACAAAGTCATCTTCCATTTTATTTTTCAGGTGGATGGGGAACGATTCGAGAACACTTTGGAAACGTCATCGTTGGACTTCAAAGTAACTCCGGTAAGTTACCATCTGATTCTGCTTCACTGGAAATTTTAAATGAGTGGTTGATTTTCCATAGTGAAAGAGCAGTGTGTACGTATATAGAAATGACTAAATACTGTGCTGGAGGCAGGGGTTAAGAGGTTAGCAAACCAGAAACAGTCTGAGGGCTGGCAGTCTAGCAGTGGCAGTGGTATAAAACCAAGTACATCACCAGAAGGGGAAAAGAAGTGTGATGAGGGAGCAGTTCAGGGGCTTGGGTTTCAGGAGTTCCCGGAAGTCTTCCTAGGGGAAGTGGTGTCTGAATTGAGCTGATGGTAGGTTGGGAGTTAGCTGTTGGGAGTTGGCCGGGTGAAGAGGGAAGGAAGAATTTATAGCAGAAGGTGTGGGCGGCAGCTCTGAGGCTGAAGAGAGAGGGCAGCACACAGGGATGGGGAGAAGCCAGAGGTCTTGGTGCAGAGCAGGTGGGTTTGCCTCACCGAGTCTGGGGCACCAGAAGGATTGGACCTATTGTCCTAAGTGAACCAGATGTTGGAAGAGGTTTTCAGCAGAGTAGAGGGATCATTTGGTTATAACGGGTTTCAGTTACAAATAAGTTTGTAGGAGAAGCGTTTTTTCTTAAATGCACTGTGACCTCTCCTCTGACCGGGGCATCTTCGGCAGTTGCAGCAGCCACTAGGTCAGCTTGGTCATGGGGCGAGTGGTGTGGCAGTGTAGGGCCCAGACTCGGGAGAAATGGGCTAGCTGAGTCTTACCACTAGGGACCTGCTGTTATTAGAGAAACTGGCACAATGAGCGGGTTTTTATCAAGCTGTTGTAGGAGGGAATACATTTTTTTGAGGGGAAAAAGTTTTGTGGAAAAGGCATTTATTCACAGATGATTGAAAACTGTGTTTGCTGGGGAAATGTGTTTGTCCCGTGCTTAAAGTGACTTGTGGATTTGCTTTTTCTTTTTTAAATAGGATATTGAAGAACCTCTTTTGGAGCCAGGTACTGATAAGAGAAACACGACACTTATGGTTTGAAAGTTTTCACACAATTATTTTAAAGCTGTCTATATTTTAAGCTGTGTTATGATCTTGTAAATTACTCTAATGGTGGACAATCCAGATCATACAAGGATCAGAGATTGGAAACCCATTCGTATCACCAGATCTGTGGAAGAGCCATTCTGGCTTCTTGAGGTCAAACACGTTTGGTGCAATGTAGTGATTATTTTCATCTCTAACCACGTAGAGTGGCATTTAATTCCCCCCTTCCCATGATTCCTCCATGTGTTTCTACACATGAAACAGATCTTGTGATATTTTGCTGCAGTCGTTTTGATTAACGCAGTTAAGGCAGGATAAAGCTGTTGTCAGGGCACTTACCACCTGAGAAGTGACTGGATTCCAGAAGAGGAAACAGAGTTTCTTCATGAAAATTTTCAACATGCTATTCCCCTTCCGGACTGCGTTTACCTCCCACCGTCAGAAGAGATTCTGATTCCCATGTTGGACTATTCTGTTAAACGAAATTCAAAGAAATTTGGAAATTGAGCTGTCATTGAATGATTTACGTTCGGTTCAGCACTGTGGACATTGGAAAATCAGAAGACCCAGACTTGAACAAAAACTTGAAGAAGACTGTCGAGAAGCAGCCGCGTGGTTGTAGGTGTTTAAATCTGTGGGGGCCTTTTCTCTTCCGTGTAGCGTAGAGGCTTACCTAGAGGCGGTCACAGCGCAGGTAGTGTAACCAGTGTAACTTTGTGTACCCGCGGGTTTTCCAATCTCTGTGTAGCTAGCAGTTCTCTTCATGTTAGTGTGGCAGCCGTGCCAGTTCCACATTTGTGATTGCTTTATTTCCCTGGTAATTAAACCTTGTGCCATTCTATTCCTGTTAAATCCGTAGAAAATGAGAAAATACTCGACATTTTGGGGGAAACTTGTAAATCTGAGCCAGTAAAAGAAGAAAGTTCCGAGCTGGAGCAGCCATTTGCACAGGACACAAGTAGCGTGGGGCCAGACAGAAAGCTTGCGGAGGAAGAGGACCTATTTGACAGCGCCCATCCGGAAGAGGGTGATTTAGATTTGGCCAGCGAGTCAACAGCACACGCTCAGTCGAGCAAGGCAGACAGCCTGTTAGCGGTAGTGAAAAGGGAGCCCGTGGAGCAGCCAGGCGATGGCGAGAGGACGGACTGTGAACCCGTAGGGCTAGAGCCAGCAGTTGAGCAGAGTAGTGCGGCCTCCGAGCTCGCGGAGGCCTCTAGCGAGGAGCTCGCGGAAGCGCCCACGGAAGCCCCAAGCCCAGAAGCCAGAGATAGCAAAGAAGACGGGAGGAAGTTTGATTTTGAAGCTTGTAATGAAGTTCCTCCGGCTCCTAAAGAGTCCTCAACCAGTGAGGGCGCTGATCAGAAAATGAGGTTTGTTTTTTCTCAGTTTTAGACCAGACGCTATCTCCTTTTCATTGGTCATTTAATGACACACATAAGCTGTTTTTTCTGCAATTGGCCAGCCAGACTGACGAAATTGTAGATTTGCTTCTAAAGAATGTTTTATTTCTCTTTGTGCATTTTTAATGGGTGATTCAATTCCTTTTCTTTTTCTCAACCTACCATGGTTGTGTTCTTAAATTGTTAATCATTATCTTCAGCTAAATCGAATTGATTTTTATAAATCTGACATTGTATTTTTGGCGTCAGATTTTCCAATATAAGCTTGCAGAGGTACCTGTTAAAATTTTATTTCAGACTAATTTTCTGGTAGGTATTGAGTTTTAGCACATAATCATATTTTTAGTTTTGTTCTCTTTCGTTTTTTTCCTGTGTGAGTAACATTAACTTTTGTCTCTAGCTCTTTTAAGGAAGAAAAAGATATAAAGCCAGTCATTAAAGATGAGAAAGGTATGGTTTAACTTATGTGGCAGTCCCCATCTGTGGACCCCTTATTTTGGGAGGAGGGGACTGGAGACAGCCGTGCTTTGAATTCAGTCATTTAAGTGTTGTTTTATGGGTTACTGGAAGGAACCACCTAATGGTTTCTGAAGAGACTAGTTTTAGAAGTTCACAAGCATCTGCATTTTACATTTCTGTTGTGGTTGTCATTTATGTGATAGTAAAAAGGAACAATTCTGCCCATTGAAGAATGTTTCAGGGATTTTTAGAGACTGCTCTCTTTTGAGATCTGATCATCAAAAGACATTTCAGTTCATAACTGACATGGGCACGATTATTCCTTGAGTAAGGAAACTCGGGTTTTGCGGTCCAGCTCTCCAGCCTTCTGTGTGCTGGCAAGTATGTGTGCATTAAATCGAGTCAGGACAGTTGGGATTGGGCGGCGTGAGGGTTTTCTCAGAGGGCTGCAATCTTAAGAATGGTCGTGCTTCCTGTTAGGCCTTGAGGTGATGCCTGAGACTCTCCCTCTCGTGCCAGGTCGGGTCGGCAGCATTTCTGGTCGGAACCTGTGGGTCAGTGGGCTGTCCTCCACAACACGAGCTACGGATCTGAAGAACCTTTTCAGCAAGTACGGGAAGGTATGCCTTCCCTTGCTGCACACCAGCTCTGCCGGGCACGGTGTGTCACCGCTGTAATCCCAGCAGTTTGGGAGGCTGAGGCAGGAAAATCGTCGCCCAGCAGCCCAGCAGTTCACGACCAATCTGAGCAACACAGCAAGACCTTGTCTCTGAAAAATCAAACCACAACAAAGCTCTCCCAGTCTTGTGCAGTGCGCCTTGTTTCCTGACTTAAGAGTAACCAGGGTGCCAAGCGGGGAAGGTGGTTAGTTCTTTCACAGCAGTGCTCAGAACAGCTGTGTACAAACAGCTTCTGTCTCAGTGTTCTTGTGGTTCCTTCCAACTGGTCTCAAAGAGACTGATAGTCTTTTGTCCTATGCTTAAAGCTGACATGCTGAGTTTTTTACCTTAAGAATAAGTTGGGAGGCTGAGGCAAGTGGATCACCTGAAGTCAGGAGTTTGAGACTAGCCTGGCCAACGTGATGAAACCCCATCTGTACTAAAAATACAAAACAATTAGCTGGTCATGTGTCATGTGCCTATAATCCCAGCTACTCAGGAAACTGAGGCAGGAGAATCACTTGAACCCGCGAGGCAGAAGTTGCAGTGAGCCAAGATTGCACCACTGCACTCCAGCCTGGTTAATTGAGGAGGGCAATTTAAAATGATTCCACTCTTTGGAGTTAATTAATGTTGTAAGAGTCTTTTTTTTTTCTTTTTGAGACCATGTCTAGCTATGTTGCCCAGGCTGCAGTGCAGTGATGTGATCTTGGCTCACTGCAACTTCCACCTTCCAGTTTCCAAGGATTCTAATGCCTCAGCTTCTCGAGTAGCTGGTATTACAGGCCCTTGCTACCACGCGACGCTAATTTTTGTTATTTTCAGTAGAAACAGGGTTTCACCATGTTGGCCAGGCTGGTCTCAAACTCCTGACCTATGTGATCTGCCTGTTTGGCCTCCCAAAGTGCTGGAATTACAGGCATGAGCCATCGCACCTAGTGAAGGGTCTTCGGATAAGCAGGTGGCACTGCCCTGGTCTCCTGGATGCCTCTGAGTAGTGGTTTCTGAGGGAGAAGGTTCAGTACCACTTAGTATCTGCCCTGATTCCAGGTGGAGTGGGGCCTGTCTGCTGCAGCCTTCTGGCTGTAGAAGGCATTCCTTTGTCTAGGTCCGTGACATCTGATGAGGTGTTGGTTAATGTTCAGACAGGGTCTAGAGAAAGCATTGTGTTCAATTTTTCTAACAGTGTATGTGTTCAAAGGGCTTAGGAAATTCTTACAGCTGTAAACCTGTTTGCTCAGTTGTTCTGTTGGCTTCATTCAGACACTGATGATGAAGCAGAAGCAGACAGACGTGTGGTCACTGTCATCACAGATTTTTTTATTCTGGGGGGAAAGACCGTTTAAGAAAGAAACATGATGTGCTGTGATGAGCATGTTGAGGAAGGTTACAGCTCCCCGTCAGTGTGTGTGGGAGACTGCTTAGATGGGGAGGTGACTTCAGACCTCACCGAAGCAGTGACTTTTCAGCCATGGCGTGAGTGGTAGCGTCGGTCTTGCCCGTGGGGCTCAGCTTTGGACAAAAACAGGAGGATAGGAAGGCCTAGAGGGGCAGGACACCGCTCAGCTACTTGACTGAAGCATGCAGAGGCTGCTGTGACAAGCTCCAGGGTGGAGGGCAAAGCCCAGGAGTGGCGACGTACAAGCTTAGCATGGTGCCTGCTCTCATTTGGGTTTTGTCTGTCATATAAGGGTGATGAATTTTATGGAGGATGACCCCATTATTGGCCCAGCTCCCTGACCTTGAGAGGGAAGAAAACAGAGCTTCAACTCTGTATAGGAACTGGCATCTGTGTTTCGGCAGAGTCTCCTGACCCTTTGGCCCTGGACAGATTGAGGCAGAGCCTTGACGACTTCATTTGTGTGGTCAAAACCCAGGACATCAGAGTCTGATGGGAACCTCAAGCCTGTAGGTTCCCCCTTGTCGTTTCACAGTTGAGGCCATGAGGTCCAGAGAAGGGGGGATGCCTTACTCAGATTGACCCGCTGAGTCAGAGATGGGTCACAGACCAGGATCCTGTGTCGCAGGGATACATTTACTCCGCGCGCCAGTGGTGGTAGGGTTGGTGTTAAATCTGCTATCTTGCTGTCTGTTTTCTGTTCGTAATGTTTGCCCGTTGATTTCTTTTTCCCATTATCTGCCTTTTTGTGGGTCAAGTCCTTTTTATGTCTGATGGCTTATTTGCTGTAACTGTGTGTTGTGGTTTACTGGCTGCTTGTAGGATGACAGTACGCATCTTCCCTTCCAGTCTGCCTGCAAGTGTGCTCTGCTGGGTTCAGCGCAGTGCAAAAATTCTGTGGGAATATACTTGGATTTCCCCTCCCATCAGTCTTTGTGATGTTACACAGTTTACTTCTCTTTAAGAAGGAACCCATTATTGGCTTTCACTTGTTGTGGTTTGGTTTTTTTGCTTTGAATATTTGTCTTTTTTTTGAGTCAGAATCTCACTGTCGCCCAGGCTGGAGTGCAGTGGCACGATCTCGGGAGGCACGGTAACTTCTGCCTCCCGAGGTCAAGTGATTCTCCTGCCTCAGCCTCCTTAGTAGCTGGGATTACAGGTGCGCGCCACCACGCCCAGCTAATTTTTGTATTTTTAGTAGAGACAGGGTTTCACCGTGTGGGCAGGCTGGTCTCGAACTCCTGATCTCATGATCCGCCCACCTTGGCCTCCCAAAGTGCTGGGATTACAGGCGTGAGCCACCGCACCCGGGCTGAACAGTTATCTTTTAAAGAGACGCAGAAATGACAGGAAAAATTATGTTCACCTCGACAGGTGCTCTTCATGGCTTTTTGTTGTACAATGAGAGATCATCTTCCTCATGAAGGACTTGAATGTTTCTTGTAGGTGGGAGTTGCTAATGATGCGTTGTTTCTTTTGCATGTCAGGAAAAGTCTTTACTTTGCCTTCATTTTGAAATAAATTTGTTCTGGGTATAGAATTCTGGGTTAACTTAATCTTTGTTTCTTCGGTTCCCAGTTTTTCTCTTTTCCTCTGGCTGCTTTTAAGTTTCTTGGTTTTTGTTTGTTTGTTTTGTTTTGTTTTCCCTTAGAGACAGGATCTTGCTGTGTCGCTCAGGCTGGAGTGCAGTGATGCTCACTGGCTGCTTCGACCTCCTGGCTCAAGCGATTCTCTTGCCTCTGCCTCCTGAGTAGCTGAGACCACAGGCACCCACCGCCATGCGCAGCTCCTTTTGAAATTTTTGGTAGAGATGTGGTTCCTCTGTGTTGCCCAGGTTGGTTTTGAACACCTGGCCTCAAGTGATCCACCCACCTTGGCTTTCCAAAGTGCTGGGATTACAGACATGAGCCACTGTGCCCAGTCTGTGCCTGGTCATTTTTTACTGGATGTTGTGAATTGTATTTGGTTGGTGTTAGTTACGCTTGTATCGCTACAAATACCCTTGAGCTTTTTTCTGGTACACAGCTAAGGCACTTGACACACTTTGATCCTTGTGAGGCTTTTATGCTTTGTAAATCAGAGCCAGAGTAGCCTTCAGTTTGGGCTGATTTTGTCTCACCACTGGGTAGTGCCTTCTGAGTAGTTCTGCTGCCACGTGAATTACAAGCCCTTCCACCCTGGCTATCAGGAAGAGCAAACCATCTGTGGCCCTGAGTATACCCCCCACCCCCCAGTGATTGTTCCCTCTGCCACTTATGGGTAGCACTGTCCCAGCCTCTGGTTTCCTTGCAAACATGTGCACTGGGTGAGAGGAGCCCTTTGTGGGTCTCTCCAGATCTCTGTGTGGCTGTGTACTCTCTGATACATAGTTCTGTGAACTCTCTCTGCCTTGGTCTCAGAATCTCAGTGCTATCTTACCCTGCTCCCACAGTCCTCCGACTCATGGCCTGGGAAGTCCAAGCAGCCAGCAGGGATTAGTCAGGGAGCTCTCAGGGATTGCTATCCCAGGCAGCCTGATGTCCAGGATCTGAAAACCATTGTTGATTATATTTCATCCCGTTGTTAGTTGTTTCGGGCAGGAAGACAGTGCTTAGTTCTCCCATCTTGGCCAGAAGTGGAAGTCCTTTCCCCCATGGGAACATTCATCACAGTCCACATCCTTGTCAGAGCTTTTCCCAAGCCCAGCTGGCATGGATGGGTGCATTTCTAAGTGGCCCCACAGCTGTTTGTGGGCACAGTGGAAATAGAGAGAAAGATGTCTTTGGGTAGGACTTTTGGTTGTTAGTTGTGAGTCATGAAGTTTAATGGTCTTGCAACCTCGCATGTTTGTGTGCTTCCATTATGATAACTAACTGATCTTCTATCGAAAGCAACTGTCTTTGGTGGCTGGGTGCAGTGGCTCACTCCTGTATTCCCAGCACTTTGGGAGGTCGACTTGGGTAGATCAGTTGAGGTCAGGAGTTGGAGACCAGCCTGGCCAACATGGAGAAACACCATCTCTACTAAAAACACAAAAATTAGCCAGGCATGGTAGTGTGCACTTGTAATCCCGTCTACTCAGGAGGCTGAGGCAGGAGAATCTCTTGAACCCAAGAGGCAGAGGTTGCGGTGAGCCGAGATCACGACACTTCACTCGAGCCTGGGTGACAGAGCTAGACTGTCACAACAAAAAAGCAATTGTATCTGGATAGGTCAGGATTGATTAGAACCCATTCAGTAATGAAAAATGGAAAACTAAATGTGGCGAGGTGAAAAATCGTGAAGATGGTTCTGATTGTCAGGTAGTAACTTTAGGAGTTGTGTGCTCATTTGTGAGAGACAGTAAGGGTCTGATTGTCAGGTAGTGACTTTAGCAGTTGTGTGCTCATTTGTGAGAGAGAGTAAGGGTCTGATTGTCAGGTAGTAACTTTAGGAGTTGTGTGCTCATTTGTGAGAGAGAGTAAGGGTCTGATTGTCAGGTAGTGACTTTAGGAGTTGTGTGCTCATTTGTGAGAGAGAGTAAGGGTCTGATTGTCAGGTAGTAACTTTAGGAGTTGTGTGCTCATTTGTGAGAGAGAGTAAGGGTCTGATTGTCAGGTAGTAACTTTAGGAGTTGTGTGCTCATTTGTGAGAGAGAGTAAGGGTCTGATTGTCAGGTAGTGACTTTAGGAGTTGTGTGCTCATTTGTGAGAGAGAGTAAGGGTCTGATTGTCAGGTAGTGACTTTAGGAGTTGTGTGCTCATTTGTGAGAGAGAGTAAGGGTCTGATTGTCAGGTAGTGACTTTAGGAGTTGTGTGCTCATTTGTGAGAGAGAGTAAGGGTCTGATTGTCAGGTAGTGACTTTAGGAGTTGTGTGCTCATTTGTGAGAGAGAGTAAGGGTCTGATTGTCAGGTAGTGACTTTAGGAGTTGTGTGCTCATTTGTGAGAGAGAGTAAGGGTCTGATTGTCAGGTAGTGACTTTAGGAGTTGTGTGCTCATTTGTGAGAGAGAGTAAGGGTCTGATTGTCAGGTAGTGACTTTAGGAGTTGTGTGCTCATTTGTGAGAGAGAGTAAGGGTCTGATTGTCAGGTAGTGACTTTAGGAGTTGTGTGCTCATTTGTGAGAGAGAGTAAGGGTCTGATTGTCAGGTAGTGACTTTAGGAGTTGTGTGCTCATTTGTGAGAGAGAGTAAGGGTCTGATTGTCAGGTAGTGACTTTAGGAGTTGTGTGCTCATTTGTGAGAGAGAGTAAGGGTCTGATTGTCAGGTAGTAACTTTAGGAGTTGTGTGCTCATTTGTGAGAGAGTAAGGGTCTGATTGTCAGGTAATAAGTTTAGGAGTTTCGTGCTCATCTGTATGAGAGAGTAAGAGTCTGATTGTCAGGTAATAACTTTAGGAGTTGTGTGCTCACTTGTATGAGAGAGTGAGAGTCTGATTGTCAGGTAATAACTTTAGGAGTCGTGTGCTCACTTGTATGTATGAGAGAGTAAGAGTGCCCTTTCTCATGAAGGTGGTCGGGGCCAAAGTGGTAACGAACGCCCGCAGCCCTGGGGCTCGATGCTACGGATTTGTCACCATGTCGACATCTGACGAGGCGACCAAGTGTATCAGCCATCTTCACAGAACTGAGTTGCATGGACGAATGATCTCTGTGGAGAAGGTGAGGCACTTCTTGTCTGTGGTGACTCGCAAATGGAGTTTCCAAGTGAGAAGACTTGGGCCACACATCATTTCTGTCTGTATTATATTTTAGGCCAAAAATGAACCTGCTGGGAAAAAGCTGTCCGACAGAAAAGAGTGCGAAGTGAAGAAGGAAAAATTATCCAGTGTCGACAGACATCATTCTGTGGAGATCAAAATTGAAAAGTAACGTGATTTTTCAAACCTCTCTTGGAATCCCCGGGAGGCGGGCAAGGGCAGCCGCTGTGGGCCTTGAAAACCAAGCACCTGTCCCCACCTCTGCACATGTAGCCTTGCCAGATTCCCGTTTGAGTCTTCGCTGATTTTTGTATTTTGCTGCCACCCCAGTCTTCAGCTTTTGTTGATTTATGTTTTGGAGACGGCGACTCACTCTGTTGGCTGGCTGGAGTGCAGTCGTGCTGCAGCCTCCACCTTTCAGGCTCCGGTGTTTTTGCCGCTTCAGCCTCCCAAGTAACAGGGACTGCAGACACACGCTACCAAGCCAGCTAATGTAGCATTTTTTGTAGAAACGCAGTTTCACCATGTTGCCAAGACTGGTCTCAAACTCCTGAGCTCATGTGATCTGCCTGCCTTGGCCTCTCAAAATGCTGGGATTACAGATGTGAACCACCACACCTGGCCAGTCTTCAGCTTTCTCTTTAAAGCTATTTAATGGAGTAGCCTGTGTTTTTAAACAGTGGATACAGATGATCTTCAGTGTGTATTTGTGTCCTGTTAGTAGCCTTTTGAAGAAATAGTGCACACAAAATGACAGTGTGTGTACCTATTTTTTATGTCCGTTTCCATATTCTGGTTTATTGTACAGCCTCTCAGACCTGGGAATCATTTCCTCATCCACGTTGATTTTCATACAGTTCTCACTAAGCACAGCAACTCTCAGGAACCCAGTTTTTTTAAGATAAAGCATCATCCAAATGGATGGAGTGTGATCTAGTGTTGCAGTAAACGACCTTGAGCTTGTAGTTGGTGCTGTGTCTGACAGATGGCAAGCATTGCTGTGTTTACTTCAAAATTAAAAATAGCCCAAGGCACCCTGTGAGTTCATGGTGGCACCCTGGGGTACCTTGGCATAGTAGTTGGGAACCATGGGTCTGAGGTTCTATTTTTATAAAGGGGTGATTTATATCTTTAATCAAAACGGAGGTGGGGACAGACCTTTCAAGGCAGGTGTGGCTTATTGATATTTTTAGCACAGTTACTGGCTTCTGCTTTGAGAAGGTAGATTTTGGTGGTATGACTGATCATGGCAGTGTCTCAAGGCTGAGTGTCTGCATTGAGTTTACATTGTCAACACATTGTAGAGGGTAAACATGTCTGTGGACACAGTTGAACTGGGTTTTTGAAGATGTAATTACAAATTTACATCGTGGCCAAATTGGAATTATTATTTTATTTATTTGTTTGTTTATCTTGAGACAGAGTCTTTCTCTGTCACCCAGGCTGTAGTGCAGTGCTGAGATGTTGGCTCACTGCAGCCTCCCCCTCCCAGGTTCAAGGGATTCTGCTACGTCAGCCTCCCAAGTAGCTGGAACTACAGGTGTGCCACCATGCCCAGCTAAATGTTTGTATTTTTAGTAGAGACAGGGTTTCACCATGTTAGCCAGGATGGTCTCAATGTCCTAACCTCGTGATCCACCCACGGCCACCCAGAGTGCTAGGATTATAGGTGTTAGCAACCACACCCTGCAGGATTTTAGTATTTTTTTAAAAATTTTACTTTTTGAGATGGGTCACCCAGGCTGGAGTGCAGTGACGCAGTCATGGCTCACTACAGCCTCGACCTCCCAAGCCTATGATCCTCCCACCTCAACATCCTGAGTAGTTGGAGCTACAGGCGTGGGTCAACACTCCCAGGTAATTTTAAAATTTTTTATAGAGACAAGGTCTTGCTCTTTTGTTCAAAGCGATCCTCCCACCTTGGTCCCACAAGCAAAAGACTGGGATTATAGGTGTGAGCCACTGCACCTGGCCCCAAATTGACATGAATAGGCCCCCGAGTAGTGGGTGTCAGATGAGCCTTCATGAACTTGCAGGTAAGAACCCTAATTTAACCAGCAGCTTCAAAAAGATGCATCCCATCAGCATTGCTAGGGAAAAACGTCTGTGTTGGTGGAAGATAGGGACTGTTGCAGGTTTACGACATTCTTGGTATCTTGCATGTGTTTCATTCATTGCTTTTTATTTGTGGGAAAGGTGGTGATAATTAGCTAGCATTATGGGGTGGCCCTTTGGCAAGCATCAGGAATGCAGCCGTTTCCTCAGTCCTTGCAGTAGCCTTGTGAGGTAGGTGCTCTGTAAAGGAGAGGACAAAGGCTTAGAGAGGGGAGCACACCCCGCCTGAGGTCGCTGGGAAATGGCAAGGCTGGGATTCAACCCATGAAAGTTACCCGGAGCCCCATGGCTCTTAACTGGGTGACGAGCTTAAGATCTTTAAGACCAAACTGTGCAGGTTGTTTGCCTAAGAGGTTGAGCATTTTAAAATTTGTTTGGACCTTATTTTTTTCTTCAAATAATTAGCCTTCATTAGCCCTCCTTTCCATTAGAAGGATTTGTAGATTTAATGGCCAGCCTTGTGAAATAGAGAAGCTTTCCAAAGAGGGGAAGAAGAGGGGCTTAGTTTTGCCTTCTTGGATTAGTAGCAGTTTTTACACACTTGTTATACAGAAAGCACATGTAAATGGCAGGTGCGATCCCAACACCCAGGGGTGATGCTTTTTGGTGGATATCTCTCCAGTCTTTTTTCCAGAATTTATATTTATCTACTAGAAGGAAAGCTGCTAAATAAACACAGAATCTTGTGCAGCAGGGGAAAGGAGTCAGGCGCTTTTTATTCCCCCTGAGTTCTGCCTCAGAATCTAAAGACTCCTCTCATTTTTTTTTTTAAGACAGAGTCTTGCTCTGTCTCAATTTTTTTTTTTTTTTTCTGTATTTTGTATTTTTAGTAGAGATGGGGTTTCACTATGTTGGCCAGGCTGGTCTCGAACTCCTGACCTTGTGATCTGACCGCCTTAGCCTCCCAAAGTGCTGGGATTACACGAGTGAGCCACCCCGCCTGGCCTAACAACCTTCTTTAAAGCATACCTTGAAGTGACAAAAGCAAGCTGTAGAGAAGTGTATGAAGTATGGCCTCGTTCATGTCACTCCTAAGACACTGTATAAAACATCATGTAGATCACTGAAGTCAGGCAGACCCAGTGATTCACAGTAAGGCCACCCTGGTGGTTGTCACAGGGATGAGGGAATGGAGATGAGATGATTTACAATAGTAAGTTCTGGGATGTACCATTAATTGATATGGTGTGTGTTTAAAATTTTTCTCAAAATGAATATTATTTAAAAAAAAAAAAGCTCCATGATGTAGAGGTTGAGGAGGGCAGGAGGAGACGGGGCCATCTGAGAGGCTTCCTTGGCGTGGCTGGAGCTCTGCCAGGTGCCCCGCCTGGGTCAGTGGTGAGGCCAACAGGTGCTTGCTCGAGGGCCCTGCAGGGGTCTGACTTCTCCTGCCTGGATCCTGGCACGTTATTGGTGTTGAGTTAGTGTGCAGTTTAATGGCCTGAGACAAACGGCATTAGGGAACGTGGCAGCTGCGTTTGAGTGGCAAAGATGATTTGTTTCACTGCTTGGAAGAAAGTTTGCCTTTGGTTGAAATGGCACTGACACTCTCCCGTATTCACTGGTGCATCACACGTCATTTTAACTCCCTGAAAATAAGCAGCAGTTACCAGTCGAGGGGTGTTGGCTGCACGGGTGAATAGCCTACTGCTCTGTGCAATGGGGGCTTGGTGTCCTGTCACTGTGCCTCCATCCTGTCTATGTTGGTTGGGGAAGAAATGCTTTTCCCTGTCAAACTTATAAACAGTGTTCCACACGTACATGACAAAACATTTAAAATAAACCTTTTAGAAGTGTTCTCATGTGGTTGGCGTGTTTCTCGTGTACACTTGCACGCCGGTCTTGCATGCTGGCCTGTCTGACATTTTGGAAATGCATCCCTAGGAACCTCCGGTTTCATAGTGCAAGTAATAGAGGTGGGAATACACCTGTATCTAAAGAGGAATGTTATTGTTACCATGGTTTTCATATCATTTTTCCCACCGAATTGCTGCCAGGGTGATTGGTTTTATGTGGACATCTGAGTGTGTGAGTGAGGCTCTGGGTGACTATTACAGAGTCTTGGGAACTTAAATTTGTAACTTTTTAAATAGAACCGTAATTAAGAAGGAAGAGAAGATTGAGAAGAAGGAGGAAAAAAAGCCTGAAGACATTAAAAAGGAGGAAAAAGACCAGGATGAGCTGAAACCCGAACCTACAAATCGGTCTAGAGTCACCAAATCAGGTGATGAGAACCTTTCAAGTGCTGGTGGAAGGGGAAGGCCTGGCATGGGTGGTGAGTAGGTGGGGTTCTGAGGGAAGGCGAGGATGGCAAGCTTTGGTGACCTGGCAGTGTTTCACTGTTCATATGTCACTGTTAAACAAGAGCCTGTTGATGAAATGGCTTAGAGGAGTTGCCATACAACATGGTGAATCCAGAAGTACTTGGGATGGGCTCATCTGCATTGCTGAACTCAGCTGCCTGAGTTCTGGCTTTTTCAGGGCCTTTGGCTGGATACAGTGTGGGATTTGCAAGAGTGAGTTGTCTTGAGTTTCCTGTAACTAACCTGATGCCATTCTGCAGGTGTGTAGTCAAGTTTTTCCCACGTTATGTTAAAGCTGGAGGTGGTAAAAACACAGAAAACGGAAACCTCCAAGCATCTGTTGAAGTGGTTGTATTTGGACGGTGCCACTTCTGTTGTCGTTTTATAAAAGGTCATTGTGCTCTACACCTTTGAATTTCTGTTCAGAATGTTTCGTGGCAAAAAAATAAGCCAACTCCACCTTCCCCATCGAGGAAGAAAAAAACAGAAACAAAACCCAGCCATCTGGAGCATTGAAATTTGGTACAGCACATTACAAGCTGGATCTTAAGCGCTCGGGCTAATTTACCCCGAGTCTCATGAGGAACATGTTTTTAAAATGTTCCCAAGTGTTCTAAATCTTCCCAGATAAGCCATTGTTCCGGTAGTTAGGGCCTGGCGGTTCTGTTGTCAGGAGAGAGGATGTGTCCGGAAGCCTTTATTGCTGGAGATGAGTAGAGGGAAGCCCACCGGCTGGCAGGGCACTCGCTCAGAGATGCAGTGTGATTCTGAGCACGGGCCGCATACTGCGGATCTTCACAGAACGTCAGCATAGCCCGGCTCCAGAGCTGTGCAGCTTCAGTGTGGAGGGTCACAGGCTCTGCAGCATGGGTGTGCTGGTTTAAGCTGTAGGATGGGAACAGGTCCCTCCAGTTGTGCAGAGACCTGTGAGGGTGCCCCAGCTGTGCTATACCCGTGTTACCCTGTTGCTCACAGTAGATGAGAAAGAGAGGCCCCCAAGGCTGGTGTCAGTCACTTGACTCATGCCTTGTGTGTCCAAAGCCCAGAGTCTTCAGAGCGCTGTTTACTGCGGGAGGTCAGGTGGCCACAGGTTTTGATAGATTGCAGTTTTATTTTCCTGAAGGAAGCAGAGGGATGGAGCGGACAGTCGTGATGGATAAATCGAAAGGAGAGCCCGTCATTAGCGTGAAAACCACCAGCAGGTCCAAAGAGAGAGTGAGTATTGCTTCCACCATCTCAGAGCCAACTGTTTGTTACCGTGGCTCCACGACCTGTTTGATTCGCATTATGAAAACTCTTAAATAATCTTAAGAGTTCTTTAAAGTTTGTAGGAGGTGTGAACATTGTGTAGATTGCAGATGCAGACACACAAATGAGTTCCCACACTTTCTGCAGAGCAGCGCCCATCATGTTTGCTTCCCTCCATGTGCTGGGCCTGCACCGCTCCTGTCTGGGATGTGCCGCCTTCTGACAGAGCATTGGTTCACATGGTAGCTCACCATAGGTTGGGACGGGCCAGACCCAGGCTCTTCAAGCTGGAAAGCAGGTCCTACTCTTTGGTTGACTTAGCAGGTTATATTGATTTTCTAGTCTTCTATCAAATTAAAAAGATGGAGACCAGTCTAGACAGAGTGTCGGTCATCTTACCAGATCAGGAGCTTCACCCTCAAGTTGTGCACACAGCTGGACAAAAGAGCGCCTCATTTGCCTTTTCCACTCTGGAAAAGAGTAAAAACCTCTGCTTCCCAGCTGCAGGTTCTAACTAAGATGTTCCTGAGATAACAGTGCTTTTTTAGTGAATGCAGAGTTCACTCTGTTCAGCCAGGACCGCTTTGTGTTGTTAAGACTTTTTTTTTTTGAGAGGGAGTCTCGCTGTGTTGCCCAGGCTGGAGTGCAGTGGTGCGATCTCGGCTCACGGCAACCACTGCCTTCAGGGTTCAAGCGACTCTCCTGCCTCAGTCTCTTGAGTAACTGGTATTGTAAGCATGCACCACCACACCCGGCTAATTTTTGTACTTTTAGTGGAGACTAGAGATTACAAGTGTGAGCCACCTGGGACTTAGTTTTTAAAATGAACTTTTGGATTTTATAAAGCATAAGTTCCTAACGTCATTTTTCACATGAAAAATCATAAACTACAGAGAAATCTAGAGTAGAACATTGAAAAAGACCCATAATCTTATCCCTATGTAATTGTGATGTTGCAAATAAATAGTGATGGCATGTGTGTGATGAAACGATCAGGTCAGTGCAGGGAGATGCCGCACAGGCGCATTAACGCCTCCGCATGTCCGCTTGGCTCCTTGGCTTCCTCTGCATACACATCCCCTGCACGTGCCGTGGGGCCACAGGCGGAGGCTGTGCTGGAGCTCACTTTTTCTGTGTAATATGCCTTGGAGGTCTCTATACAGAGACACATGGTTTGGCCCTCTTCCTTTTTCCTTTTTTGTCTTTCAGCTTTTACATGTGTTTTTTTATGGATAATATTCACTTATTAAAAAAAATAAAGGGTGGGAGCCTCTCACTTTGTTGCTCAGTCTGGCTTCAAGTGATTCTTTCGCCTTGACCTCCCAGACTTGCTGGATTATAGTGTGAGCCACTACCCCAGCCTCTTTCAGCTTTTAAATTTTGAAATAAAGGGCTATTCAGAAAGGTTGTGGAGGAGACTTAAATCTCCTGGGTTGTTGCACATGCCAGGTTGCTGGAAAGTGGCTAAGCTGGTCTGAGAACCCAGGAGTCCCGTGCGGGCACCGTTGCCTGCCGTGCTGCCCGCTGCGCAGTGCTGTGTGGGCATCTGTCCCCTTCTCACTCCACTGCAGGGTATGTAAGACATCTGCCCGTCTCATGGGCAAGGCGTTTCTCCCAGCCTGCATTTTTTGAATAATTGGTGGAATGTCTCATCTTGGCCTTTGCCTGTCTTTGTCTTGGGTTGCTTTGTCTTTCATTGCTCTTTCTTTTTCTCCTGTGGGACCTAACTAGGAAAACAAGCTGAGTACCTGTTTTAAAGTGTCCTTTCCCAAGTCCCTGCCCCAAAGATTCTGTCTGGATCAACAGGAGGCCTCAGGTTCTGTGTTGTTTAAAAGCTTCCTGGGAAGGTCTGATGCATGGCCAGTTTTGGTGAGGCCTTGGAGAACCTTAGAAATGGGAGTCAGCTGTTAACAGTTTTGAGCTTTATACCACCGATAGAAGATCATGAATGTAGGCCGGGTGCGGTGACTCACACCTGTAATCCCATCACTTTGGGAGGATGAGGCAGGTGGATCACTTGAGCTCAGGAGTTTACCAGCCTGGGCAACAGGACGAAACCCTGTCTCTACAAAAATACAGAAATTAGCCAGGTTTGGTGGTGCCAGCTTCCCAGAAGGCTGAGGTGGGAGGATCACTTGAGCCTGCAGTGAGCCATGATTGTACCACTGCACTCCGGCCTGGACAACAGAACAAGACTGGGTGTCAAAAAAACACAAAAACCTACAAAAAATAAATTATAGAAGTTGGTGATTAGTGTTCTGTACCTTACTACGCACCCTGTTTTTGCATTAAAGCTTTTTTTTTGGAGATGGAGTCTCACTTTGTTGTCCAGGCTGGAGTGCAGTGGTATGATCTTGGCTTACTACAACCTCTGCCTCCTGGGTTCAAGCAATTCTTCTGTCTCAGCCTCCTGAATAGCTGGGATTACAGGTGTGCACCACCATGCCTGGCTAATTTTTGTATCGTTAGTAGAGACTGGGTTTCTCCATGTTAGTCAAGCTAGTCTCGAACTCCTGACCTTGTGATCCACCCGCCTCTGCCTCCCAAAGTGCTAGGATTACAGGCTTGAGCCACTGCATGCAGCCTGGCATATTCTATTTAGTGCTGTTTGCCTGAGTCCTGAGCCAGCAGTTGAGACGTGAAACATGCAGTCTGCCCTCCAGCTGTCCAAACAGCTGTCCCCTTCTGAACTAATGGCCGCAATAGTCCTGTGCGGATGTGCCCCATGGCGCTGAGAGGCCTAGGTTTGCTTTAGATTACGTGAGTCTTTGGCTGTGCTATGTTAGAAAAACCGTGCCTGTAGGTTTTCTGAGGCATGGGCCAACCTCTGCTCTTCCATGAATGCCCCTTTGACATCTGAAAGCAGGATTCTTGCTTAAGCAGCAAAATGCAGGCTTGGAGGAAGCAACCTATGCCCAGCCTCTGGTCCGGAGACCACAGCCTTCAGTCTACACCATATGGGGCCAGAGAATCTTAGTCTCATACTGAATTTCCATTGTGTGTGTGTTGCAATCATTTTCCTTACATTAATAAACCAGTTTTGGTAAACAGAGCTCCAAGAGTCAGGATCGCAAGTCAGAAAGCAAAGAAAAGAGAGACATCTTGTCGTTTGATAAAATCAAAGAACAAAGGGAGAGAGAGCGCCAGAGGCAGCGGGAACGGGAGATCCGAGAAACGGAGAGGCGGCGGTGAGTGGAGCTAAGTGGGCTGGTGGGCTGGTGGCTTCCTCTCAGGGCGGTTGTCCTTCCCCCAGCTGTGTGCCAGAAAGCCAGTGCCTGGCCAGTTGGTGTCTTGTGCTTCGCTTGAGTCCTTGAGGCAGGGACCAGCACCTGTTCACGTGTGACCCGCCAGACATGCCAGGTGGCATGAAAGTCATCAAAGGGCCAGGTGCAGTGGCTCGCACCTGAAATCCCAGCACTTTGGGAGGCCAGGGCCAGAGGATCACTTGAAGCCAGGAGTTCAAGACCCTAGGCAACATAGCGAGACCCCACCTCTACAAAATATTTAAAAACTAGCTGGGCTTGGTGACGTACCTTGTAGTCCCAGCTACTGAGGAGGTTGAAGTGGGAGGATGGCCTGAGCCCAGAAGCTCAAGGCTGCAGTGAGCCGTGATCACGACTACTCTAGATTCAGTGACAGTGGGACGCTATCTCTTAAATAGAAAAGACATAGTCATCGAAGCCCGTTACAGTAGATGGGGTTTGGTCATGTTGCCAGGCTGATCTTAAACTCCTGGGCCCGAGCGATCCTCCTGCGCCAGCCTCCCCAAGTGCTGGATTACAGGCTGAGCCTTCTGCTGGCTCCAAGCCTATTTCCACCCCTCCTCTGGTGTTGGACCTTGGCCTGTGTGGAAAGCCCAGCCGGGTCTGGCGTTGATGGCAGACTCTGGGTGCTGAGGCCTCAGCCTTCCCTGTTGGAATCTCTCACATAAGGTCAGAAACGGCAAGGAGAGTCCAGTTGTTACTTTGCCGGGGCTCCTTTCCGGGCTGTGGTCTTGAAGGCGTTTTATCCCTCTGCCTTGACATTCGGCCATTTCATGTCTGGATGCCTGGCTTCTCTTGTCACTTTTCCTCAAATATTGCTCAGTAAAGCAAAAGCTGTGCTCATAGCATTTGGAAAAGTGTTCTCGAGTGAACCTGGAAATGCTACCAGCTGTGCTGCCTTTGCTTTTCTTAAGGTAACTTTCTTAAACGCGGTAACTCCTCACGCGCGGCGCTAGGGAAGCCGGATAGGCTTTTGGACCCTTTCTTTTCTGCTTCCAGTTGATACCCAGTTTCGGTGCGGGCTTCCTCCATGGAGGCTTATGCAGGGAGTTCAGGGCAGCATTGCTTGTCCCGGCAGGGAACGCGAGCAGCGGGAGCGGGAGCAACGCCTTGAGGCCTTCCATGAGCGGAAGGAGAAGGCGCGGCTGCAGCGGGAGCGCTTGCAGCTCGAGTGCCAGCGCCAGCGTTTGGAGCGGGAGCGCATGGAGCGGGAGCGGCTAGAGCGCGAGCGCATGCGCGTGGAGCGCGAACGCAGAAAGGAGCAGGAGCGCATCCACCGGGAGCGCGAGGAGCTGCGGCGTCAGCAAGAGCAGCTGCGCTATGAGCAGGAGCGGCGGCCCGGGCGGAGGCCCTACGACCTCGACAGGTGAGTCCCGCCCAGAGCGTGGGCAGGACGGAGGCCTGCCTGGCAGCGGTATTCATCCTTCCAGCAGAACAGCGGCTTCCCTCCTGTCCCCTTCAGTGGGGAGAATGAAATTTGATGTGGAGCAGGCGCCCTGGGGACGCCCTGCAGATCTCACTGGCTGCTGCAGGGTTATTAGTTCACCGCCAGCACCCGAGGCTGTGTAATCTCTTTACCTATCTTCAGTTTCTCTGGGAGTCCTGATGGCTGCCGCTTGCCGAATGGTTTGTGATGCTTTTCCTCTCCATGTCCCCGTGGAGCATGAGTGTTCTGTCTTGCGAGACTGAGCGCCCGTTCGGCCCGAGTTGGCCACCACTGTCTCTGCTGGTCTCATGTGTCCTTGTAGGCGGAAAGGCAGAAAAGGAAATTGCCTCTGGTTTAGAAAGTAGGTTTATTGGTCTCTAGCTGCCCCGAACGGCTTAATCGACAGTCACCTGTCACCCCACTCTCCATGAGCCTAGTTTTCTGGTAAAAATCAGGAAGATGATAATTGGATGCCGTCTGGAGCTGTGTGTAGTCGACCATCACCCAGTCCAATTCCCTTTGCTTTTGCAAAAAACTCAGAGGGAGATTCAGGTTCCTGCATGAGGCAGGGAGAGTAAAAATGTGGCAACTCCAGTGCCATTTCAGAAGAATCAAGTAGTTGTTTTCTCTTGCATTTGTGTTCATGAGGGGGGTATCAAGGTAGTAACAGCCTCACGAGACAATGAGCTCACAGCGGTGCTCTTTTCGGGACTGTTGGATGAGAATACAAGTGTGCCTCTCCACTGTTTGGGGTTTAATTTATCAAATCAAAGCAGTGATCGAATCTTAGCCCTGCAGGATGTTTTAAACGATACTGGGGGTCAGGCATGGTGGCTCAAGCCTGTAATGCCAGCACTTTGGGAGGCTGAGGCAGGTGGATCACGAGGTCAAGAGATTGAGACCATCCTGGTCAACATGGTGAAATCCCATCTCTACTAAAAATACAAAAAAAATTAGCCGGGCATGGTGGCACGTGCCTGTAATCCCACCTACTCAGAAGACTGAGGCAGGAGAATTACCTGAACCCAGGAGGCGGAGGTTGCGGTGAGCCAAGATCGTGCCATTGCATTCCAGCCTGGGTAACAAGAGTGAAACTCCATCTTAAAAAAAATAAAATAAAATAAACGATACTGGGTCTGCGGAGAGAGCTCCCCTCCCTACCTCCACCTCCTTCCTTTTTCCTTCTCCTTTTTCATAAATGAAATTTGCATTCTTTCAAAATAAAAACCAACAGACGAGATGATGCCTACTGGCCAGAAGGAAAGCGTGTGGCGATGGAGGACAGATACCGCGCCGACTTTCCCCGGCCGGATCACCGCTTCCACGACTTTGATCATCGAGACCGGGGCCAGTACCAGGACCACGCCATCGACAGGTCAGTGGCTCCGTCCCCTCCTGCAGCCATAGTCATTCAGGATGCCGGGGTATCCAGCTGACGTGGTTCTCAGCCCAGTGTGGGGGTTCCTGTGTTCTCTGAAGCCTCGTTTACTTCTCAGGTCCACAGTGGGTGACTCTGACCTTGCACAGAACATGAGCCAGTTGCTGGAATTGGCAGCTGCTTACAGAATCCCCAGCTTGCCTCATAGGAAGGCATCTCAGAGCCTGTTCCTTCCGCTGACCTCTTTTCGCGGGTGGGCCAGGAGGGTTCTGAGCCCAGGCCCCCCACAAAGAGTTCTCTCACTGTGAGGCAGCAGTGTTTGTCAGCACAACCTGGTTCTGGGATTCATAGCTTCCTGCTGGCCTCCATAGCTGCTCCCTCTCTCTCTCCTCCCTCCTATGGAGCTGGAAAGGGCTTGGGTTGGGGCCTGGCCCAGTCTCCTTGTTGGCGCAGCTGAGGTAGCCAGTATAGAGGGGAGGTGCGAGCTGAGGCATGCCTGGACTTCGTGGGGCCTGAACAACCAGCAGAGCTTCCTGCTCGCCGGAGCTACCAGGGAATTGACGGAAGACGTACAGAATTTCTCATGAGAGCTGCTTTGCATTTGGAGGGTCTGGGTGGGTTTTTCAGCCTTCCATAATGAGGAGTACACCTAGTTTATTTAAAAGGCAGTCCTCCACCTTCCGGTTTAAGAGTCCTGTCTTTGGGCTCCCCTCACGTCTGTGAGCCATTTCCCCATTCGTTGGCTTCTTTAGAAGGAATGTCAGAGTGGGGAGAACAGAAAGGGAGGCTGTGAGAGGCCACACTTAATTCTGCTGGAGTTTGGGATGGAGTTGTGAGTTGTGCTGAGTCCCACGTGTTGGGTCAGACTGAAGCTGAGGGATCACTGGAGACCTTCCTTTGTCCCTGTTCCCCTGAGAGCTCTCCAAGGAATTTTAGTTCAGTGCAATCTATTCCCGTCTCCTTAGAATACGACTTCATACCTGACCCTGGGGAAAAAAGCCTTTGGATTTGCGCTAGCTTTTTTTTCCCCAGGCCAGTTAGAGTTTGTATGTGTTGGGATGGAATACGTATCCCAGTTGTGAAGCTTCCTGACCCGCAGAAACGTGTAGTAGTGCCGGGCGCTGTTTGAATGGGACCTTTTCCTTTTGCAGGAGGGAGGGTTCGAGGCCAATGATGGGAGACCACCGGGACGGGCAGGTGAGTAGAGCCCCTTCGCCAAGCCCTGGGCCACTGTGCTGCTGTACAGGCATAGCTCTTTCTAACTGGGCGGCCGGTTTGCCCCGGAGACGTGGCAGCTCAGTCAGCACATGTGCCGGGTGCGGAAATGTGGGTTCTGGCTGGTGACTAGAAGTGCAAATACTGGATTGTTTTCTAATGCTCGTTTCTGTCATTTTCATGTATGTCGGGCTCGTTCTTGCTTCATTTTATCCAGTAGAAACTGCGAGTGTCTCTTCATTGTTCACTGGCTCAGGGAGCCTTTGGGTCTTGGTGCAGGGCCTGGGGGGTGGTGCCCTCAGAGACCAAAATGGTGCTTGTGGTTTAGCCCACATGTGCCAGGGGAGGGGGAATGGGGGTGGGCACTGGGGGCTGAAGACAACAAGAGGTGTCCCTGAGTCTCAGGTGCCATGCAGGTGCCCCATGCGTGGTGCCAGGGTGTGAGTTCTGAGAAAGCAGCACCCCGGTGGAGAGGTGGGAGGCGGGCGGCAGTGCAATGGCCTATAACAGCAGGTGGCGCCTGCCAGCTTCTGGCTTCTCCGTGCAGAGTTGGTTGGCCAGGGAGGCTGGAGGGTGTGGCCCTGCCAGAGCACAAAGGAGCTGACCCCCTGGGCCTCCTGTTACCACAAAGGAGGTAGCACTGACTCCTCAGGGAAGACAGGGCTTGCCGATATCTCGGTGGACCTTGAGCAGAGCTTGAGGGCAGTAACGCCAGAGCTCCGCATGCTCCTGGAGCAGCTCAGGTAGGGCACTGATGGAGCTGTAGGGGTGTGAGGAGGGGAGCCAGGGAGCAGAGCGTCAGCAAAGCAGGGCCCAGCAGGGCTAAGGCTGTGCCCACCCCCCAGTCCTTTCTCAGCCCCAGCCCACCTGCCGCCCTGGGGCCTGCGCTGGACAGACCTCTCAGAAGGGGGTGCCTATGTGGGTGATGTGGTCGGTGTCACCCTGTCCCTATTTTGCCTTCCAGCACTATGGAGATGACCGCCATAGCCACGGAGGACCCCCAGAGCGCCACGGCCGGGACTCCCGTGATGGCTGGGGAGGCTACAGCTCTGACAAGAGGCTAAGTGAAGGCCGGGGGCTGCCACCTCCCACCAGGTTAGTGGATGAGCCCCAGCCACGGGGAGAGCATCTGTCCTAGTCTGGGAGGAAGTTGGTGCCTGGCCGGGTACATCCTCAAGGTTTGATTCAGCTAGGGCAGCTTTAGTTTAGGACAGGCTACCAGGGGTCCTGCCATTTGAAAACCCTAACTCAGAAAGGCCAGGTTCTCAAGAAGAAAGCACAGGACAGGCTCTCAGGGATGGAGCTGTCCAGGTCGCCCAGAATGGTCCCTTCCTGTTCCTGAGCTCAGGGTGGCCTGCAGCTGTGAATGTCTCCATCGCAGGGGCTGCGTGCCCACTGGGAGAGACAGCGCCACAGCTCTTAGTCCTGCCCAGTCCCTGCTGTAGCAGCCTTGCCCCACCTCCACATTGCCTCTTTATGCGTGTCTTCCTTGGGTTTTCTCTCTGACCCCTGATTGGTCTGGGGCAGGACTTCTCAACCCCTATTAGAATCGCTTATGGGGACCCTCCCCCCAGGACTAGAGGCTGAGGATGCTGGGCCAGGTCCTCTGCAGGTATCCAAGGCCACCTTCACCAGCACTGTGGGCTTGGGGGTGGGGAGGGGCTGTCCTGAGCCTGTCAGCCTTGGGGTGCAGGGTTGTCTGGGAGGACTCTCTGTCCCTCTTTGGTTTATTTGGCCAGCTGCAGTCACCCTTGCCTGTGACTTGCTGCCTGGGCTTGCCATGAGGAGGCTAGTGGCAGGACCGCCTTGCGGCTGCTGCCCTGCTTTCCTCTGTGAAGAGTATCTTGTCTGTCTCCAGTCCCATCCTAGGGCTGCTTCAGCCCCTGCCCAGTGCCACAGGGTGCTCCTCTGTCCTTCCTTCCCTCTGCCCTGAGAGGTACTTCCACCTCTGCCAGGGACTTTGACTCAGCTGTGCTGAGTGTCCCAGGACACCCGAAGCTTCTCCCACATCTCTGGGCAGCACAGATGGTGGCAGTGCCGCATCAGTTGGTGTCAAGTGTTCTTGTCCTGTCACGTAGTGGGTTTTGTGGTAAATACCTCAGGAAAGTAAATGGGAAACTCATTCTCAGAACCAAAGACAGTGAACAGTGGCTGGGTGCCATCGGGTCACCGAGGGCAGGTGCCCCCACATGCGTGCTTTCCGCTCCCTCCAGGGCAGTATTGCACTTGCCTGGCAGGTGTGTTGAAGCTCTGTGGCCCCTCTCGGGCCTCTGGGCTCACTTGGCCCAGCTCTGACTGCACCCAGCATCCCACAGCAGGCGGCCACTCCTGCAAACTGGGTCTGGCTGCTTCCTGCATGGCCACTGTGACTGCTAGTGACTGTGCAGGACATTTCCGTCTGAAACTTGAAGCCAGTAGCTTTATTGAGGTATAATTCACATGATGTGCACTTCCTGATTCATGTGTGCAGTCAGTGGAGGTTTGCATATGCGCGGATCTGCAGCCACCCCACGGTCCAGTCCCAAGCATTTTCATGACCTGGAAAGAAGCCCTGCCCCTCTTAGTGGCCACACTCCCTTCCCCCCACCCCTGGCAGCCACTGTCCCTTTCTGGCCTTGGATTTGCTGACTTGAGTCATTTCCTGGAAGTGGGGTCCTGCGCAGTGTGCCTGCTGGGCCTGGCTTCTCCCTGAGCCTGGTATATTCAGGGTTCATCCCCACTGCAGCCTGGGCCGGCGCTTCCTTCCTGGGCATGGCTGAACACTCCACGGTCCAGACACACCACGCAGTGTTGTCCGTTCATCAGGTCTTGGGCATTGGGGTCCTTCCTCCTCTTGGCCATTAGGAACATTCATGACTGATGTCTCTGGCCATGGTTTCATTTCTGTCAGGTAGAAACGGGTCTGCCAGGCCATGGTGATTCTGAACTGAGCTTTTCAAAGAAGCACCAACTGCTTTCCGCAGTGTCTGCACCATTTCATGTTTCCACCAGCAGTGGACGAGGGTTCCTCACTTTCCTCACTCCCTCTGCCCTGCTTGTTACTGTGTGATTCTAGCATCCTAGCGGGGTGAGGTGGCATCTCAGTGTGGCTTGGATTGGTGTTTCTGGGTGGCATTGAGCACTTCATGTGCTTATCTTTGGGGAAATGTCACTTCCCATCATTCGCCCACTCGTCTGCTGCCCTCGCTGTGTGGCATGACCTGCCAGGCGGCTGAGGCCAGGGTGGGCATGTCTGCTCCCGGTGTCACCCTGGAGGCTCATCAGATGGCTGCATGTCTGCTTTTTATTTTTTTGGCAAAGGGGCGGCCGTGACTGGGAAGAGCACAACCAGCGGCTGGAGGAGCACCAGGCACGCACCTGGCAGGGTGCCATGGACACAGGCGCAGCCGGCCGGGAGCACACAAGGTGGCAAGGTATGGGGCTGGCTCTGGGAACGAGGATGGCTGTGGCCCCCACGCATATCCAGGGGTTTCCCCAGAGACAGAGTGTTTGCACACCCTTCTTCTTTTCCAGGTGGTGAGAGAGGCCTGTCTGGGCCCTCAGGGCCGGGGCACATGGCAAGCCGCGGCGGAGTGGCGGGGTAAGGCGTGTTTTCCGAGGAGAATGGCGGTTCGATCCTGCTCCTCACTTCCTCTCCCCTTTTTGCATGTTTGGTCATCTGGCTGGGTTGGATGTTTTGCAAACAAAAGCAAAAAGCAGCTCTTTGCAATTTATGCAAGTAAGGCTCTTCAGTTACCTGGAATACAGTGTGTGATGATTTTGCTCACCTGGAAAGAAAGCCAAGCATTCTAAAGGCTGCAGGACCATTACTGAACCCATGTTACGATGGAAACATTGAGCGCTTCAAGGGGAAAAAATGTCTGGCTTTGTTCCTAGGCGAGGCGGCTTTGCACAAGGTGGACATTCCCAGGGCCACGTGGTACCAGGTGGTGGACTGGAAGGTGGAGTGGCCAGCCAGGACCGGGGCAGCAGAGTCCCGCACCCACATCCCCATCCCCACCCGTACCCCCACTTCACCCGCCGCTACTAAGTCCCACTCACTGCGAGTTTTCAGGTAGGCAGACGCACTGTTGAATCTGGTAGCCAGGGTTCCCTTGAACTTGTGGGATCTTTTAAAAGCAAAGCAAATCCTGCCACCGTGTTGTAGCTCAATACAATGTGAACTCACTTTTTTTTAAAATAAATGTGTTCTTGTTCTGCCATTTTTAAATCAAGGTTTCTGTTAACGAGGCATTCCATTTTCCATTAATAAAGTTTACCATTCGCACTCTTGTGTGCGTGTGCGAGTCCTGGTCACCACAGCTCAGGATGGGCCCGGCCCTAGGCATAGTGGTATGATTGCATAGTGGCTGTTGGCTCTGCTAGGTGCTTCCAGAGTCCTTCACCTGCGTCATCCTACTGAGTTCGCACAACCACCCCAGGAAGTGGGGCGTCCAGATCCCCATCATCAGCCCATGGGAACTAGGATTTCTTCACTGGGGGCTGTGCACCGTGGGACCCTCAGACCAACCCCTTCACCCCATGCCTGTCTCTGTGTGGGTAGCGGTGAGGGCGTCCCAGGCCCCTGGGAGCTCTCCGCCTGCTGCCTCAGTCCAGGGTAGTGTGCCGTGCCGGTGTGTGGTAGGTCTGTGGGGAGGCTGGTGTGTGGTGGGCCTGCCATCCCCTGGCTGCCATGTGTGTCCTGCTTAGTGCCTGCTGCCGGTGGCCCGGCAGGAGTGGGATAGCGCTGACTCGGCACTGGGCGTGGCAGAGCTGGTCCCTCTGTTCCTTTGGGAATGTTCGTCTGTGAAGGTGCTTTTGAGTGTGATGCCCATTTTCTTCTTGAAAGACTGTCAGACAAGGCCCCTTGCTGGCCGGGGTAGCCGGCAGGCTGCTGGCCCATGCGCATAGCCTTCCATGCCAGGACCCTCCAGGGGCGGCCCCTGTTTACTGTGAGGTGCAGTTGTCCTCTTCACAAGCCTGGCCCGGGGCAGGGCTGCAGGCATCTTGGAGCAGAAGGTGGTGCACTGGCAGGAGGGGCAGCCCAGCCCAGTGTGGTGGTGAGAGTTAACTGGCGGGGCCACCTGCTGGGGACCTTATTCCTCCCCTCCGTATCTAGGACAGCCACCCGCAGGCCCCTCCTCCAACTGCGGCTTCTGCTGGAGTACCCCGCGCCCCCACTGGGAAGTTGTTTTAAAAAATCCGTGTGAAAATCCGGCCCAGCTTGCCACAGACACTGGAGCAAAGGCAGGTTGGCCTTGGCCCTCAGCATCCTGTCTGGGCCTGGGCCACCATGAACGCATTAAGGAGTCTCCCCCACAGCGGCGGCTTTTGGAGTCATTTTCCAGTGGCACGTGTCCCCAGCACCTCTGGGTTGCACACGGGGTCTCCGAGGCTCACCTATCTCCCCAACAAGCCAGAGTCTAGAAAGCGGGGTTAAGAGCTTCCCTGTTGGGCAGTAAAAGGCAGGCTCAGCCCACACTGAAGAAGCAGCCTGGGATCGGGAGGAGGCCTTGCTTTCAGACCTCTTGTGTTTCCCTTCCCGGAGTGGGGCGTGGTCTCCTGAACCATGAAGTCAGGGCTCAACCACTGCCAGACCGCCCCAGGGGAGCGAGAAGGGGAGCCAGTCCCACTGGACGTCCTCCAGGAGTAGAGGAGCCCTTTCCAACGAGCTGGGCCTGGAACGCACTCCGTTCCACGCAGAAACAAAACACTCCCATGACGGGCTGCTGTCACCAAGCGCCATAGAGTGGCGACGGAAGTCATTGGCTCTCAATTCTTGAGGCCAGGAGTCTGCAATCTGGGTGTGGGCAGGGCTCGGCCTTCCCGGGCGGTGGGGGAGAACCCCTCCTGGGGCTCCCAGCTGCTGACAGCTGCTGAGTGCCGTCAGCCTTCCTTGGATTGTGAATACTCCCCCCAGTCCCTGCCTCCATCTTCACGTGGTCTGCTTCCTGTGAACGTGTTTGTGTCCTGGTTTCTTCTTTTGTTGTTGAGACAGTTTCAGTCTTGCCAGGCAGGAGTGCAGTGACAAGAGCCTCGGCTCCGCAGCCTCCCGAGTAGCTGGGACTGTGGGCGCCTGCTGCAGCGCCCAGCTAATTCTTGTAGAGATGGGCTTGATCCGACCTCATCATCCGCCTGCCTCAGCCTCCCAAAGTGCTGGAGCATTACCAGTGAGCCACCGCGCCCGGCCTGTTTCTTTAATAATTGAGTGTAGGTGGCCGGGCGCGGTGGCTCACGAGGTCAGGAGATCGAGACCATCCTGGTCAACATGGTGAAACCCCGTCTCTACTAAAAATACAAAAATTAGCTGGGCATGGTGGCGCGCGCCTATAGTCCCAGCTACTTGGGAGGCTGAGGCAGGAGAATTGCTTGAACCCAGAAGGCGGAGGTTGCGGTGAGCCGAGATCGCGCCATTGCACTCCAGCCTGGGAAACAAGAGCAAAACTCCGTCTCAAAAAAATAATAATAATTGAGTGTAGGTACATTATATTAACTCTTTTATTTTGAGAGAAAAGGTGGGTGGAACAAAATATTTGTCATGAAGAGGAGATGCCAATGGACGTATGGGTAGTGCCCCCTTCGGGCAGTTGTGAATCACGCTGCTATAGCATTTGTGAATGGATGTGTTTGCACACCTGTTTTCCATTCTCCTGCTTACGTACCTAGGACTAGAATTGCTGGGCTGACTTGGAACTCCCTGTGTTTTACTTCCGGAAGTATAGCCAGACTTTTCCACGGTAGCTGCACCATTTTACATTCCTACCAGCACTGGACAAAGATTCCAATTCCGTTTTTTTTGTGAGACAGGGTCTCCCTGTGTCTCCCAAGCTGGAATGCAGTGGTGTGATCATAGCTCACTGCAGCCTCGAACTCCTGGGCTCAAGCCATCCTCCTGCCTCCCAAGTTGCTGGGTCTACAGGCATATGAGCCACCATGCCTGGCCTTGGTATACCTTTGGTGGTGAATTGTGTTATGTACCATTTCCCATAATTTTAAAGACGTTTTTAAAGGGGAGGGGAACTGAGAGCCTCTGGGGCAGAAGCAGGGAGCTTCTTGGGAGTGCGTTTAGAAGCCAACTGCTTGGCACCCAGCCTTCTCACTACCTGCCTGCCCACGGGCAGGTCATCATTACTCCTTGCCTTGGCTGCTTTAACTGGAAGAAGGGAGTAATTGTAGTTGCCATATGGGATCTTCACAAAGATTAGTTAATCCACATAAAAAGCCTGGCATGCAGTAAGTGCTTAATACATGTTGGCAGGCCCTGGTGAGCCCTAGAGGAATAGGGCCTCGGACTCAACGTTTCCCAGGGGTCCTGGCAAAATGTAATTCGTTGAGTTCTGGAGGGGGGTCCTGTTTTCCAGCCGTACAGAAAATGGCAGAATCAGAATTAAGACCTTATGGCTGGCCGGGCGTGGTGGCTCACGCCTGTAATCTCAGCACTTTGAGAGGCCGAGGCAGGCGGATCACCTGAGGTCAGGAGTTTACGACCAGCCTGGCCAGCATGTTGAAACCCCGTCTTTAAAAAAACAAACAAAAAAAACCTTATGGCTAGGCACGGTGGCTCATGCCTGTAATCCCAGCACTTCAGGAGGCTGAGGTTGGTGGATCACCTGAGGTCAGGAGTTCGAGACCAGCCTGGCCAACATGGCGAAACCCCATCTCTACTAAAAATACAAATACTAGCTGGGTGTGGTGGCATGTGCCTGTAATCCCAGCTACTCGGGAGGTTGAAGCAGGAGAATTTCTTGAACCTGTGGGGCAGAGGTTGCAGTGAACTGAGATCACACCATTTCACTGTAACCTGGTTGAAAGAGGGAAACACTGTCTCAAAAAAAAAAAAATAGAATTAAGACCTTATGAAATGTCTCCGCAGCTACAAAAATGTGTCAGCTTCACCAATTGCTAAATTTTGTATTCACAAAGATTTCATTACATTTCAAAACGGCTCCTAGGTTAGATTTTCTCATTCCCAAGGAGCTCCCAAGCCTCCGCGATGATTGCCAGTCTGAAACTGCAGGCGGAACTCCTAGTCACATCATTTCAAAGGCAAAGTTAGAACAGGGCCTTTTGATTCCAAAAAAAAATGCCAGAAAGTTGACATTTAATGGGGATGCGTGCCTTTTAACAGGTGTGCTGGCAGGGGCTTCCTTGAGTCTCAAGTGACCCCCGTCCCTACCTGGTCATTCATATGATGGTAACAAATCAGGATTCAGACCACGCTCTGACTGCCGGGTGGGTTCAAATCTCAGCCCTTCAGCCACTTCTTCGGTCAGCTGCGTGCACTAAGGGAGCTTTTTTATTTTATTTTTTGAGATGGAGCCTCGCCCTGTCACCCAGGCTGGAGTGCAGTGGCGCAGTCTCGGCTCACTGTAACCTCCGCCTCCTGGGCTCAAGCGATTCTCCTGCCTCGGCCTCCCGAGTAGCTGGGATTACAGGCGCCTGCCACCACACCCAGCTGATGTTTGTATTTTTAGGAGAGTGTGGTTTCCCCACATTGGCCAAGCTGGTCGAACTCCTGACCTCAGGTGATTCTCCCACCTTGACCTCCCAAAGTGCTGGGATTACAGGCGTGAGCCACCACGGCTGGCCAGGAATTCCTTCACGTTAATGACATGTGCACGGCCCCTTTATCTTGGAGCCCAGTGTATTCACAGGTTCCAGGGATTAGGACGTGGGCACCCTTGTCTGTCACCCTGGGACAGAGTGTGACAGAATCCACCTTGGAAAGCGCCCGATGTGATTGCCAGTCAAGCAAGTTAGATAACTAGTCCCCTTGGCCAGCCACCAGTTTATACGAGGACACATGCGGACATCACACGTCACCACCAAACCCAGACACAGCGCGGGTACAGCTTCTTGGGAAACGAGTCAGTTCCTGGGAAAGTGAAGTGTGAAAGAAGGTTCTGAGCCCGGGGGAGGCTGAGACCCCAGAGGCGACGAGCCGTGGGGCCGAGGCTCTGGCCCAGGGTCCCTGCTCCTCAGCCTCCCTGGGTGGCAGGGCGCCCCATGCCGAGGTCACACGGTGGTGAAGGGGATAGGTGTTTTGGGCACCAGTGAACAAGCTGCGTATGTGACTGTGCACATAATTTTACACGTGCACTTGACCTTTAGAGTTGACCCCAAGGATAACCTACATGTCCTGCCATGCTGTCAGAGACAATACTGGGCCAGAAACTGCCCCTAAATGACTCCCTGGAATGCCAGGAGCTGCCTCTCTGCACTCCTGAAACCTCATGAGATGCAACCACCCTGTGTTTGCCTCCACCTACAAATATTGACAAAGCAGCT